CACGGATATTTCGGTTCACCCGAAACTTTCAGTAAAAATCTTGTCAAAAAAAGCGAGCGGGACCCGAAGCGAAGGACACGGAGAGGCTTCCAAGATAGCGCGGCATGGAGTGGTTTATGGGCGGGAGGCCATGGCGGACGACGACGGAATAGCGGTTCCAGATCCCGGTCCATGCTCCAACCGGAAATCGGCACATCTTCGGCCTTCCTTTCCGCTTGCGTGCAGCGTAGACGCGCATCAAGCATGTCGCTCGCGTCTGGCTCATTGCACTCTACGCACGTCGGCACGTCTCGAAATAAGAAAACCGAGGGAGGCCACTCCACGAGGGAGATGTCGACGAACGCAGGGATACATCGTTTTGTCACATGGGCCGAAGTATCACAAGCGACATGCGAGGTTTAAAAGTGTCGCCGCCATTTTACGATTATGCAGAGAAATTGTTGGTTGAATAAGAGTACCTGTATGCGGGAGAGTAGTGCCATCTCAATCCTTATAATACAGAAAAAGTGTGCCGCTCTCTGATTGGTCGGCTATCATAGAGCCCTAAAGTTGGACCAATGTAAACAAACCCCAGTCCCTCCGCTCCTAGTTAGAGTCCCTTTATACTGAGAGTCAAGACAATTCGGCTCATGGATGTCACAAACGGGAATAAAGATTACAGAAATTAAACGTTTTTCGTAATCTTTGATCGGCCCATTCTCAAATGCCTTTCTCCGTTCCTCCTCTCATTCCGTTTGTTCCTTGCCGAACCCGTAATTCCCTGGTCCATTCCAGATTATAATCTTTGCAATTGGTGAAAATGTATCTTTATTCCCGTTGGTGACACTGTGGAGGCCTAAAATACGGGAACCGATCAGAAATGGATTCAAATTGTCTTGACTCTCAATATAAAGGGACTCTACTCCTAGTTTGGCACAATGTAAACAAACAACATAGCAACAAAGTTCTAGACGTGATTTTGGATGTGATAGAATTTTTTTTACATCCAACTTCTGCATCGAGTTCGGATCGAACTTTAATGGATATTTTCGCCGGAAATTAACCGTTGAGTGTGGTTATCATTCATTACTTACTCAGCCGATAAGTAATACGTGTTCCTCTGGGTCGGGTTTGTTTACATTGGGCCAACTTTGGAGTTCCATGGGCGAACCAATCAGAGAGCGGCACAGAGATGGCAATACTCTCTCGTATACAGGTACTCTAGGTAGAGTCTGTTTGAAAATTTCACAGAATTTTATCGGCAACACAAAGAAAATTCAGTGAAATTTTCGGACAGCTTCGTTGAACACTTTCTCTGTAAAAGAGTAAAATAGCGGCGGCAATTTTTAAACGTCGCATGGCGCTTGTGGTACTGTGGTCGGAAGGTGACGATTTCAGACTCGTTCCTTCCGTTTACACAACATGGGCAACAGCGATGGTAGAAGACGTAAAATGCGAACCTTAATTGCAACAAAGCAAATTTCATCTCATGTTTTACTTTCGTGTGCGAAAACTGACTCAGAAAATTGATAATGTCGCGATAAAAATCAGAAATTATTGAATTCATCGGCACGATAGACAACGCTGGAATTAAGTTCACATGTAAGAGAAACAATCAAAGCTTTAGTTGGTGTCGCATGCGACGGATACGAAACGAATTTCACTGTAACACTTGGATGCAACTATTCGGGCCCCATGGATGTCCGTATTGCATACGCACGGAATGGAAGGCGTTTTGACTTCAGACACTGACCGTCTGACCAGCGCAGGGTGGGGGCGCGCGGCTCTCAGTGGAGGAAGTCAATGAGAGGAATCATGGAAAATATGGAACCATTAAAAGCTCACATCGATGTTCATACAAAACAAAGTAGTGGTTTTAAAAGTGGTTTCATAGATTTCCTACTAAAAGTTCCTTCAAGAGGCACCCCACGCATACAATTTATAATGTGAAGAAATTAACATTAAAATTTGCGGTTATAGTCAAAAATGGCACGTCCAATCTCACTGAAAGGCTCGTTTTATGGTGGGAACGGCTTCATTGCGAGGATCTACCTACTGGGAAAAATGCTTTCAATTCTTCCTTTAGACTTCGCACTACTCGCGGATCAGCCCGCCGAATTCCGAAAACCCTCGAATGTGCCTGCAACTTTCATCGACGCGAATCATCCGAGAACAACACTGCTGTGCCAAGGAAGAACGCCGTATGAGCCTTCAGACGTTGCCAAGTTTCCTCCGATATAAACCAAATTTACTGAGAAAATTGTGAATGTTGTTTTCCAACATTTTCAGACAATTTTGTACGCAATTTAACCTAAAATATCTGAAAATTTCAATGAAAAATGTGCTTGAATGTTGTTAGAAATACACGTTTTATCAAGGGAGATTTGGAAACTCTCGAATGCTCATACGGCGTTCTTTCTTAGCACGGCAGAACGGCGCTCGTATCTTTCTTTTCAGAGGTTAAGCAGAAAAGAAAAAGGGGAAGATGTGAATTTTATAACCAAATTCGTCTTCAAAGACCAGCACGAGAGCACGAGCCTTCAAATCATGAAACGATGAATCCGTCTCGTAACTCGTTCCTCAGATTCTAAATGGAAGCTTTCTGGTCAGGTCCGACCGACGCGACGATGATCTTCGGACGAAAGCTGTTCAATTTAATTAGAAAATCGTCGTTGAAATGTCCGATGACCCGTAAGGGAGCTTCGGTCTGACCGCCTGAGCGCGGTTTTATTACATTCCTCATCCGAACTCGTGAGATGCGAGGATGGCGCCGCCGCCGCGCCGTGTTGGGCTGCGCCGGCCCGAAATGACCAAATTTGACGGATTTGAGCCGCGTCCCAGCTCGGGGCCCCACTTGACCCTCTTTAGACCTCCATACTCCAGACGGGTTCTGAATCAAAATTTTGAGTTATGACGGCCCGGCCGCTACCTCTTCGGCTTCTAGCGAGCCAAGATGTTTCCTGACGTGTACTGCCGTGCTGAGAAAAAACGCCGTATGAGCCTTCAGGCGTTGCCAGATTCCCCTCAATAAAAACCAAAATCACTGGAAATTTTTTGAATGTTTTGCTTCAAACTTTTCGGCCGATTTTGTTCGCATTTGATCTAAAATACCTGAGACTTTCAAAGAAAAGTATGAGTAACTTTCCTAAAAGATACATGATTAATCCGCGGAAATTTGGCAACTCTCGAATGTTCATACGGCGTTTTACCTTAGCACGGCAGGGTAAGTTTTGAGTCTAGGTAGCTGATTCAATCAAGCGATGAGTGAAACTTTTATACTGGTCTCGATAACGACCATTTTAAAGTATAGAGACTAGTTTAGTGGATCAATCCTCTGATCGATTTTGCACGAGTCGTTGGGCTGAAAAAGAAAGTCGACTGGAAGAAAACTGTCTTTTTACAAATAGTAGCCTCGTAAAACTTGTCTTTTTAAGTACACATAACAGCCTCGTAAAACTAAGACAAAGATTTTGGGACTCCCCTCCCCCTTTTCCTTTCTACTTCTTCTCGTTTTCCACTCTTTTTGACTGGTCAGGCGCAGATGGCACGCGTAAAAAGGAGTAAGGTGAGACGAACACTACTTTTAATTTAATTCATAGCAGGATTTTCCTTCTTGATTTTTCCTCGAGCATTAACAGCTATTTGTAGTCTCAAATAGACGTCGCGTTTTTTTCTCTTTACTGAGAAATCGAAAAAAAAGCGGAGGGCTGGTATCAAAAATACATGATTGACAGGATGACAACATTTCGAATGGAAGTGTCGAGAGAAACGAGCTAGCTTGGCGATAATGTCGTATTCTGCCGTGCTAAGGAAAAACGCCGTATGAGCCTCCAAGCGCTGCCAAATTTCCTTCCGTAAATCACGAATTTTCGGGAAAATTTGTGAATATTTTTTTTCAAATTTTTCAGATAATTATGTTCGCAATATCACCTGAAGTTCCTGAAAATTTCAAGGGAATATATCCATAGCTTTCCTAAAAAATAAACACTTTATCGGAGGATATTTGGCAACTCTCGAATGTTCATACGGCGTTTTTCCGTATCACGGCAGTATTCTCATGAATTGAATTCGTGGTTGTGCGTCCGGGCTCTGACTCTTTAACACGATGAAGCATGATTATTTCAGACGAATTCCATTGTTTTTGGGACTTTATCTTTGGATACGTAAAATTGACGCAGAAAGCTTGTTGTAAAGCAAGGAATTACGAGGAAGAGAAGGTAAGAACCTAATGAGTTTTTTTTTTTCCATTCGCGAATATTTTCTAGACTCAAACCTGCAATCATATTTGATAGAAGAAGGGCTTTAACTCATTGTAATAAAATACTGAAATCCTAAATGAAACGTTAAAAGTCTTGAAACGAGCAAAGTGCAATACGTGCTAACCAACACTTCCATTTACGATCACCCCTCCCTAACCTGGGCATGCGCAGCACACGGTGAATATCCACCCCGTTACAAGAGACCAAGATGTTTTCCAGTTTTCCCTGAAATCAAAAATCGGACGTGCAATTTTACGCCGACGGTAGGCAGTTCGTTCTGCAGAGCACGTCTTTGTGCGCAAGCTCATAAACCCCCACCCTCCCNCCCCCCCCCCATGCGCGCCTCCAAATTGGGGTGTTTGTTTATTTTCGTAGGATTGAAGTTTCCCCCCTGGACAAACAATTTTGTAAATCTGCCTGCTAGCTCATAGTCTAACGGCCGAGTATTGACAATGGATGTCCAACAAAATAAAAAGCAGTTAAAGTGAGAAAAAAATTTGGAAATTCAGAAGATCCCAGCGAGTTTTATCCGATGGTTGTTTTTCGGAGATTCAGTTGTTACAGCCGGAGACATGAAAAACTGAAACAAGAAAGAGCTCTCGGTTTCTTTCCGTCCCGAGGGATCGCGCCAAATTCAAAATTGAAATAAGACAAAACAAAAAATACGCTGAGAGCAGACACTCTTCGTAGATCCACGACGATGAGATTCCTCCTAACCGGCGATGAGTCAAGATGCTGAACTGAGTTTACGCAAGTTCGTACTCACGAAAAAAAGACACTGGTGCACGAAACAAAATTCGACCGAGGGGGTGAAACAAGCACTGCGTGACGGGGATTTCGAGCTGAAAATCAACGTAACATCCGAGCGGAATCCCGAAAACCGTGATCTTGGAAAAGTTCTCAAGACACGCAGCAGACGAGGGCGAATGACTCACTCACGGGCACTTGGGCTTTCAGTGTTTGGAGGCACATGCTACCAATTTCGCGGCCGGCATAGCGTGGGTCCTTCGAGGGGAGCGGCACGGAGGGGGCCGGCCGTGGAGGGGATAAACGAGTCGGGAGGGGTCCCCTCCCATCCTGACCCCACCAACAACGCACACCCCTACTAGGGTGCCAAGTCTACCTGATAACGCCACCTTATCTAGTGTCGGATAAGACTGATAAGGAATGTATCAACACTTTCACCGAGTGATAAAATGACCATTCCACATCTGCGTCCGAGGAAATAGAGGGAGAGAGTTATGCTTCGGTTTCATACCTACTACTCCTACAAGACTAGGTTTACAGTAAGGTGTATACTTTTTTAAATATTAATCCGTTCAGGGCAATAATAAATTACATACCACAGATGACAGAATCAAGTGGTAGTTTCAAATTCCACAGAATAATTGGAATGATAAAGTGACATCAATTCATTTCGGGAGAAATACCCTCAGGTTTCAGATAGAATAATCATTCGTAAATTCCCTATCAAAATGAAAAGAAATCTGATTGCTATCAAATTTACTTTAAACAATTTAAGAGTGTGTAGTAACTTTGACTGAAAACAATGTTTATTTTCTGGGGGCTATCATGAGAAAAACTGACAGATGAGAAAGGATGGTTATGTTGTAAAAAAAACATACACTGTCTGTTTCGTAAAACTTGACAAAGGGGGAAGGGAGTAAATAAAAAACATTCATTATTAATTTTCTGCCTTAAATATGAAAGGGTTGAAAGCAGGTGAATCTTGATGATACATCCCAAAAAAAAAAAAAAAATATAAAACCAAAATTTTAAACTCACGAGGTTCCAACTAAAATCACACTTACTCAATGAGGAAAGTAATGGAATTTATAATTGGCACAGATGATTCTTCTTATGCATACCAACAACTAAGAGGAAAGTAAGGTAAGGCTTATACTCACTGCTGAGGAAAAATGAAGACAGGGCATTCCATTGAACGAATGTACGCACCATGTTGGAATTGATGTCAGAGGTTAGTGATTAAAACCCAGGAGAGAAAAACAAACAAAAAAATAAAAATTAGATCAGAGACACATTTAACTAAGTCAGAAGTTACAGCAGGCCAATTATTGAAATTTTGTGTCTGTCTGGCGGACATAGGTTAAACGGCAGAGCGTGATCGGTCAGTTATGTCTTATCGCTGCTTTGTCGTGCCTTTTTCAGGTGGAATAGACAACATACTGTCCAGAACTCAAGAGATACCTTTAGCTTGTCATGAGTTCCATCTGACGAAGTTGCAATAAGACATAGCAGACCGATCACGATCCGCCATTCAACCTATATCCGCTCAACAAACACAAAATTTCAATAATCGGCCAGCTGAGAAGTGTATAAGTAAAGAGAAGTCAAAAAAATGGAAAATCATAATATGTTATTTCTGCACCAAAAAAATGATTGTAGTTCATTCTATTAGAGTTCTCCCATCAAAATTAGAGATCTTAGTCATTTTTTAATAACTATAAATCAACATCACTCAACAGGTTAATACGTATGTGCATTCAAAAGGCACTCTTGATGAAAGTTGATGGGGACAAGACCTGACTTTCATCCCAAAATACTGACAGTGGACTAGCTCCAACACATGGGTACAAATTAAATGCAAAATTATAAAGGCAATGCAATTGCTCTAATGTTTCTGAAAATTTGAGAGGATCACCAATGATGCCAACAACTTCATAAACAGTGCATGAGAAAAATTCTTCTTAGAGCTCGCGCATTGTACTTATGTTGAAACAAACGTCAATCACTGATTAACTCTGAATTCGCACCACTCAACAGGTTGAGACATGCACCACCGATGAGTGGTGACATAAACAATACTTTGACGTTTGTCTCGACATATGATGCGCGAGCTCTAGGTACAATATTATTTCTATGAGAAAGTTTAAATTTGAGGTTGCCTGTCTGCCCCCATGAAATTAATGAGTGAATGTAGTTATACCATCATTGCAGAGCTGCATCTCTTGCTTGATTATCAAATGAAGCTTAAAAAACACTCATCATACGTTTCAACTGGAGTGAAAAAATGACAAAAATTTCTGAGTGCCAAATATCATGAAAACAAAGGTGGAGATGGTATTATTATAAGAGTATCGCCTACTCTTGACGTGTTGGCCCATCACTGGTCTGGAGAGAGGGTAAACAAACTATAATTTCCTTTTCGAAAATTGCTACTTTGCGATGGCGGATAGATGCTGGAGATGACCAATTGCCACTAATTATTTGAAACGTGTATCCTGATTTGAAAGCCACAAACTTTAGCCACTTCAAAAGGAATAACTTAAATAGTAAACATATGGATTGGAGAGGTAGAAAAACTTAGTGAACGGCAGTCTCCAACTGTGCGACTTAAGAATAAGTCAAGAGCAGGGTTGACCCATAAAAGGAGATGCAAGTTACAGGACATGTTTGAGAACATTGCTAATCACTCCATGAAAGCACTGAATGTGGAAAGATTGTTTAGAATTCAGTTTTTCTTAGTGGCACTGACAGTAATCATTTGGCGCCAGAATAAGGCGAGAAGATGAAGAGAGCAAGCCTGTTTTGTTTACAAGGAACGAAATCGGATGTTGAGAATCGAGTAGATTTCGAAGATGCAAAAGATGTTGAGAAGTTGTACTAACCGTTTCGCTGCATCCTGCAGTTTCGGAATCGTAAACAGTATATGACTATTCCACAGATCACAGGCAAAATTTCATTTTACACTTGATTCACTTCACGAGACAAATTGGCCGTGTCAAGAAAAGGCGGATCGAAAAAAAACTGTCAGACGAAATAGGGAAAACAGTGAGCCAGATTTCGTAAGTAAACTTTTCCCGTTTTCCCCATTGTTTCATGTTTGGTCTAGAATTGAAACAATAATACTTTAAATAGCCAGTGCATCAAAAATCCACTCGCAGAATAAAAATTTCTATAATTTTTAAATGGAATTTTGCTTATTCTAATGATTCAATGATCCGTTTTCATCGAGAGCATAGAACCGATGGAGTTTTTTAGGGAGTTTTCATTCTGGTCTTGGTAATAAAAAAAGCCAAAACAAAGCAATTACACGTTGCCAGATTAGGTTCAATGAGCAAATGATAAAACTTAATATTGATATCTTCCTGAAATTACAACTTGCTAATGATCTCTTCGTTGTAAAATGCAAGGAAAAAATTCGGAATTTATTAAAGAGCTCAAAATCATGTATTGAGGTCATCTGGCGGGTCTGCACGACGGTATAAAAATTGCGGGGAGTATCAATTGCGCAACGTTGATTATTCCTGTGCGTGACATAACCTCAATCCTGTCTGTTTAGTGTTTATTTGTTTGGTCGTTGGTTCTCAGCAGCCCCAGTCATGTGCGTTTTCACTTTTCAAGTGCTTTCAGTCAATTGCTTTTTTGTTTTTCGTAGATATTACTAAATTCCTATAGCGCTAAATTACGTAAACATTTCTTGCAAGTTTAGTTCCAGTGAAAGTACCCTTAACATCCTCTCTCATTATGTTATCTTCTGTTAGGGGATGTCTAACGCCTATCGCCAGGTTCTGCTCCAAAGTGTCAGATTCTTCGGTTAATTATTCAAAAAACTTTTTTTCGACGTCTAGCGTCATTCATAAGGATACAGACGATATCAAGAATGGAATAGTAGTCACCCGAGATGGATCTACAATTGTTTGCTGGCATCCCGAAGAACCATTTCCCTACGAGTTTTCTAAGCCACTACCAGAGGAACAGCCAACAGAAGTCAGTTCAGTGTTGAAGGTGCAAAACAAGGACGAAATCATGAGTGTCTTCAAAGAAAAGCCCCAACAGTTTGTCATTCAAGATTTGTGTAAAATAACTTTCACCTCAAAGCATAGATGGGCCAAACGCAAAGTAGAATATTTTAGGAAAAGAAATGCTCTCAAAAGATCATCACGAGAATGGCTCTAATTGCTCTTTGTGTTGTAGATAGTATCTTGTCATATTTAATTCCTTTGTTGTTTTCACTGTTATATACATTTTGAGTTGAAGCATATAAAAAACGGTAATTTTGCAACTCGATTTTTTCACTTTATCTGTTTGCGAGTGTGACTGCCCACTGCAAAAAGTAACCTCGGTTCACTGAGTTCGAATAAACGATTTTATATTTCCTCAGTTGTGTCTTTTACGAACCTGAAGAATCGGCTGTGAGCAGCTCAACGCATTTTTGAACCAACCAGAATCATAAAGGTTGTACCATAAGTAATCCACCACTTTTTCTGCTCGGAAGAAAGTACTTAGATCCTAGTTTTAATAGCTTCATCACTTTTAGTTTTAAAGTCAGTAAATTTTACAGGCAGGGTGGGTAATTGTGAAAGAAGTGACCTTGTTATGCCTTTTAATGCAGATCACCATTCGTTAAATTACAAAAATGAAGAGAGAAAAAGCAAGATATAGTTAGTCTTGAATGGCAAGTCTGCCCTCGCATTAAGATACCTCCTTCCTACAGCTATGGACTTTCATGAGGATGAGGAGTTGAAGGTACTATCGCCGAATTTGGGTTTGCGCAGAGTCTCTGGTGAATATTTAGCTATGGCGCGGGGCGTTACCTGATAACGCTCTCATGAAGACGCACTCGTTCCTCTGCGAGTGTCGCACAGTTTACATTTGATTTGGAGCGGCCTATGCGCTAAACTAAATTCAGCTGGTACCATCCTTTTAAATCATCTAATGTTAATCCTCTTAGCTACCTGCTGATTTCTTGCTTTATAAAATATGGGAGAGAATGGAATTTTCTTTCACCCCTACTCCTTTTTAATGCATCCCAAAATACTTTTTTTATCTTAAGAAATGTCGAGTTTTCCGAGAAAATTATGAAAACGTCGTCATACCACCATGCAGTCCTTCCCAACAAAAAATACCTATCGATCAAAGTCACCCATGCCTCTTGGTCTGAAGACGAAATAAGACTGAAGGAGTCACCCTTCAAACAGTATTTAAATTTCACGGTTTTAAATGGCAATGAACATTCCGAAACCGAATTTTAAAATATGGAAGTCAAATGAAAGAGAAGTGGAGGTTGCTACAAATAAGCGCAAGGAGGGAGGAGTAAAAAAAACCAACTGAAGTTTCCTTTGAAATATTTTAAGTGTATACTTCTTTCCATTTCACTTAAACATTTATAAAAATAAGTATAAAGTTGAATTATACACAATAAAAATAAGCTTTTAATGCATACCATGTACATTTAATCATACTTATACAAGTTATAAATCTAGTGTTTATTAATAAGAGGAGTTCATGCAAAACACTGATTCTCAGATGTGAACCCCCACCTTAAAATATCTGTTTGGAAAAAAAAAAAAAAATTGAGGAATAAACACGAGCTCATAGTTCAGCCTTTCTTCATGAGAAGATAATGCGCTTATTATGATGTGACTTTCCAAAGCAAACAGATAGCCGCATTATTTTCGAGTAAAAAATTAAAAAAAGGTGTGTGATGCTTTAAACTACTGCCTAGAGTTGTGACATTTTTGAAATGTTTTCAGAACTTTGGAGGGTATTTGACAAAATAAATTTAAAAAGTTAAAAAATTAAAATGGATAAATACTGCTGAAAATATTAAAAAAATGAGTATACAACACTTTAAATGTCTCTGCCTGTGACACATCTTAAATACAAAAAAAAAAAACTGAAAAAAAAAATACTGTTTTTACTATTGGGGGCTGTTCATAAATCTCGTAATGCACTTAGGGGAGAAGAGGAATTCTGAAGGTTCCTGCGGTGCGATGAAGGGAGGAGAGGGGTGAGGGTCAACCAAACATTACATTGTATAGCCAGAGGGACTCAGATTTAAAAAGTGCTTAGGTAAGCCATATAAGAAAAGGAGATATAATCTGCACAAATTAAAGAAGTCGATAGGTTCGAGCTGATGAATAATTTCTGTTAGAATTTTCTGTAAAGTTTTTCTACTATAGAACGTAGAATCAGTGAAAATGCTTTCATTCGTTATTCTTTAAAAAACTAAAAAGTGAATTTTGATATGTCACAAAGGAGGTGTGTGGTTTGTTAATCTAGCCGGCATTCTCTAAAATTCATGTAATATGGTTCTTCAGGTTGAATCGGCATTTTGCTGTGCAATTTTTTCTGTTTATGCTCAAGACAGTGATGATTCTAACAATTACTTTTCATGCTCTTTTCAGGAGGGGGGTGTCAGGTCAAAGTGACATCACATAATTCTTGCAAGCGGGATCTGGACTTGCATTACAGGAGGTTAGGGAGAGGGATTGAAAAACCGGAGGGAAAATATTGCGCAGTTAATGAACAACCCCCGACCCCTTGACATACTGAAAAATTCATTTTACTTGGCAACTCAGCCGTCTGTTATCTATCAGGTTGTATTATTTCACAGAATGTCACAGTTTTAGAATCCCATTTAACTGAAATAATACTTAAATTCCTCTAACATTGAATTTGGGACAAAATCTGGGGCTACACTCTCCGTCTACATTATTGATTTTTACGATAGCCAGAAAAAGAACTCTTTTATACAGCAAGGATTCTCAATTATTTCGAAGTGCCATCTTTGATAAAATTCGGAGGGGAAAACTGTCCTGGCCAGGTCAAAGATCTACTTCTAAGTTAATAATGTAAGAGAGGAAGCCGACATCAACAGTGACTGCAAGACTTCTTGTTGAGAGAGAAGTTGACTTTAGCACTTGTCAACTTGTTCATACTATCTGCTAACAACATTATGGAAAATCAGTTGTACACAAAAATTTTCTGATTGAAATGATGACAGGAGAGAAGGCCTGCCATTAGAACCAAAGGTTGGCAACCATCTCCATGAAAATTTTTTATTAGTGGATTGGCACCACAAGTCCGAGTCCTCACCCACTCAGGAAGTGTGACAGAGGACCTACAATCTTGATCCTTGTACTTCCTCTCAATGCTTGAACAAAAATGGCAGACGTTCTGCTGCTTTCTACATGGCGTAGAGTTTACTGTGAAAGTATGTCAGGCCAAACATGCTTGCAACATTCAGATTTTCATTTATTCCACATAAATAAAAGAAGTTCATCATTCATAAACATGGACTCAAGAGTTTTTTGAATCAGAGTATAGCAATTGACAACCTTCTATAAGCCTCAAAGAAAATTTTCGTAACTTTAAGTACCGATATAGTCGTTAAATAGGGGCTTCTTGTGAGATTGAAAGCTACATTACAACTTCGTTTATGTGATCTCCCAATTTTTTTGAGAAAGACATTTGGTAACAAGGCAAATCCAGCTGGGGGCAAGAGGTCAATTAAAACCTTTACATGCTCAAAATTACTCTCAGTTGTCCATAGAAGTTCATTGCATCTTGGCTATAGGATTTTTGAAACTAAGGAGGTGGTGTGAACAGAATAATTGCAAAGCAATTCCTGAAAGAAAAAAGGAATAAGTTTCTACAGCCAACCTAAAACTCTAAGGAACAAAAATATGAAACATCCCTAGTAGCACACAATAAAACTTTTTTTGAAAAAAAGATTTCATAAAAAATGATGAAATAGACTAACAAGAAAATACCATGTACATTTTTTTCCAGGAAAAAACATAAAAATTTAGCTTACTGTAGATTTTTTGTATCATATTACTGACGAATTTTTCACTTAAAATTCTTGAATTCAAATTGTTGCAACCTCTTTTACACACAATTTTCTGACTCAAAAAAATCACCTGTTTTAAATTTTCTTCATGAGTTCTCTCAAGGGCTGTGCTACTAGGAGTGTCAACAATATCAACGCCAACAGAACTGATGTGACCTGCGGGCTATTTATTGAAATTGATAGACAAAGATGACAAAAGGGATATGGAGGGAACCTATTGGTGGAAGTTGGAGGTTGCAATGGACATAAAAGCAGTAGGTAATAGAACAACTACCGGCAACCCATGAGAAACCTGACAGTTAGTCAAGCATCTTCTCCTTTAGTCTATAAAAACCATACATTTCAACGAACAGGATCGCTCCATACCCCCAATATCTTCTTTGTCTATCAATTTCAATTATCAGCCCGCTGGTCTAATGGGTTATCCTTTGAAACTAGGTTACAAGAGAGGCAGCACCTAGTTCTAAATGCTTTCAGTTTTATGAGATAAGAGGTGAAATTATTTCCACCTTTTGTATGATTGACAGCTTTGCAAGCTTGTGAATAATAATGGAGACTTTTTCCATGCGGTAGAAATTACGTAGAATAACATAACTCGAAAGTTTATTTTAAAAGTAATTTCATTTCTTGAAAATTTGTTTCAAGTATCCCTCTTTAGGACATAGGAACTGAAAATTTGACTTCTAGCTCGAAGTCAAAGACTCATTCTAAAAGTGGCCGCACCGATCAATAATGCTTTTTCATAGACAACTAGAGCTGTTTTATAGCTGATTGACAGTTATAGCTACTTGGTAGTCAATACTTAAGAGTTTTGAAACTTCAAGGGATATTTCATCTCCATGATACAATTTTTAAATTACTACAACAAAAAGAAAGAAATTTCAGAAAAGCATTGAGGAAATTAAGAATTGTCAACAAGGCTCAATCAATGATTCCCAAAAGATGAATCATGGATGACTCCTAGAATATTCAATTATAGAATTATTTTCAAGACTTCTAATTTATTTTAAAATCAACAATGAAAACTGCTTTTAACGGACAAGTCCAGCACTGAAAGAATAATTGAGGCGTTGGGTGCAGAAAGGGCACTTAGAATCTCCAAAGTTGATTTATACATATTTCAGAGACTATTGGGAGGGCTCTCTAACAATTTTCATTTAAAGCATTGTAAAATCACAGAGAATGTTCAGTAAAATTATCAACAAATTACATACATTTGCCTTGATCATAATGGATGAAGCGTTAACGGAATTTCTGAGACACCGCAAGCAAGAATTGCCCTTTCTACAATCCGCACTTCAACTCAAGCGCCTGATTACAGTGCTCACTTATGAAGAACAGCAGTAACTGAGCACTTCTCTAGAAGTGGGGACCCACAAAATGGAAAAAACAGGCTTACAGTGAAAATTGCAGGAAAAAATCATGGTGCATTAAGTCTGTAACATTGGGTTAAAACACACCCACCATAAAGAAAGTTCTTCTTCTACAGCGCTCTTTTACACAAATTTAGTGTGAATCATATGTGTATTCGAGAAAGATGCAGAATTAATGTTGTTCGGCCACAGTGAGGAATGCTGAATTGCTGAGGTTTACTTTACGCATTAAAATTCAGTACCTTGATAAACACCACTATTTCAGAGGAGCAGAAAAGAGTATAATTTCTTCAACTGCTAATAAACCTCTTAAACGGTAAAGAAACACTACTTGACGTAAGTAGATCTGATATTCTTTTTTTCCAATTTTCTTCACCATGTCCAATTTTCAGAATTTACAAAATGCTTTATACATTAAATCATACAGGAGAACTATTAAGACATTACAATTATTGGACAGTGAAGACAAAAATACAATAAAAATTAACACAACAGCAGCATCACAAAATGAAGATACATTAAATTGGTCTAAAATGTTTAAAAATTTCATCATTCAGAGTTTTGTTCACTATTAAACGCGGTAGATTCTCTAAAAGTAAAAAACAAAAACAAACTTAAAAGAATAGTTCAGCGGAAAACTAATTTTACAAACATAATACAGTTTTTGGTCTGATGATGTCACATTTCACCTACAAAAAGTTTTAAGATCTAAGAAACTTGGTAAATTGCAAGAAACAATGAGAGGAGTGCTAACTTATGAGAAGTGTTTCCAGATTCATTGGAAACAAATGCATGAAACCCTGGAAAAATCATACAACAAAATGAATTTTTTCTTTCTTTTAAATTAACAAAGAAAGAGAGCATAAAATAACAAAAAAAATTTGTCACAGCTTTGAAAGCATCAGACTAAATTTTTCTTTTCTGTCGAGTACAAAACCAATTAGTTGCATAACACAAGATAAAACAATGAAATGGAGGTACGACTCGTTTAGTTGTTGGCAGCAATACTTAAGTAAAAATGTGAAAAATTCAAGTTTCGTTAAACATTTAGTTTTTGCAGAGCACAGAGCGATTGCACTGATAAAACAAAAATGATTTATTAAAAAATAAAGACACGGAAAATATTGGTTTTATGTGCCATGGTGTAAAATTTTAAGTGGACAGTTCTTCACAAAAGAGCGTTTCTTTTGTTCTTTAAGCAAAATTGAGCATAGCACAACGGTTGTAATTTTTTAGGGATACAATCACAAAATTCTTCGGCAAATAGGTGACCTTGGAGAAAATACAGAGGGTGGTGGCAAGTGGAGGGATTTACATCTCTTTCTCACAGCAAGAAAATACAAAATTTCAAAGAATAAATTTCACAAAAATTGAAATTGATTAATTTTCTTTTGAATTAATAATATTAAAGCCTTGGAAGTCCGGAGGCATTTCAAATGATCTTCCTGCTGATACAGCAGTGAATCTATCGTAATAAGGTGCTATACACAAAATGGGGGCACAAGAGAAATTTAGCCCAAACCTAACATCCAGACCAAATGAAAACATCTGCACCGTGGGAATATTTTAGGCTTGGGAGACCACGTGACTAATCCTTTTCTGGATAATATATTTTACTTAAATATGTACTTCCATTGCTGGAACTCCCAGGAGATTTTTCTTGCAATGGAGCTCGAGTATCAATGTATCACAAATAATCAGGATACATAAGTATGTTGAAGACTGAACTGTAGAAAGAGTGGGAGATGAGGGTTGAGGGGAGAAGGGGTGTTGAAAAATTTCAAAAACAAAAATCACTGTTTTCAGACGTTGCGAGGACCTTCTGAATGCATCCCACAAATGTAAAAAAATTTCCATCTTTGCTCTAGTCACGTTGGTATGAAGCAGTGTATACAAAACAGCTGTAGCCTCATTTTCATTAACTGATAGGTTAATGTACATTTCTGAGACGCGACTTTCGAAGGTGACTGCCTCGCCGCCACCTTCTGTATTTTCTCTATGATGAGAAACTGCCAAAGACAACTTCGTCTATGATGAACATTATTTGTAGACATCAATTAAATCCAAGAAAAGAGTTTGAACAAATTTTTTTTATCAATCCCTGTAAGAAAAGATGCCCATCTGTCCGTTGAAAAGAGCTACACAAGAGTAGTAGGTAGTACTCGTTCTAACTCAGTCACTTACATATGCGTAAAAAAGCAATTTTCTAGGGACATGAGACAGAGTATTGCCTTTGAGTTCAAACATCATCACAAAAAAGGGGAAAACCTAAAAAAAGATTGATTCACAGGTTATGAAAATTGTGAGTGTCAACATATGCTACTGTTACCGATAACATATTTAAGGAGAAAGCTACTTGGAATGAGAGAAGAACTCTCCAAAACCAAAAAGAGTCATGCTAAAGGCTTTAGCTATGAAGCTATGAACCTTGTTGGCCTAATTTTGACCTCTTGCAAAATTATTGTAAGTTCTGTTGAGTCAATAGGGCTGCAAAACTTTTTACATTTGAAGCTCAACTATTGGATAAAAAATGTTCTCTGATCAAATATACATATTGAAAGAACCTAACTCTCTTAGAGCTTAACTGTCACTAATTTTAAAAATCTTTAAATTAAAAAGACTGGAAAAATTGCCTCAAAATCCGAGCATGCTGTTAGACATTGGGCATCTCTTATATCAATAGTCATGATTTCCAAAATTTCTTAATTTCATATGGACACAAGCACCTATACAGAAAAAAGGGAATCATTTCTAGTTAACAAGCAAACAATTCAAAAGATTAATCCAAATCTTTGTAGAAAAATTGGAAAAGAACTTAGCTGTAGCACTTGCTAACAACATTTCAGAACTATAATCTCCTTTAATTTAAAACATTTTGATTCCAAGCATTCCAAAAACAATTCCAAGCTGGATAATTCAAAATTATTCATGGTTAATTCATAGGTACCTGTCAAACACATGTACCTACTTGATGTACTTGAGCAATATCATAACACATTGCCAGAATTGTGGGTAAGACCGAAGGAAATGAGTTGGAAAAACTAAAACAGGTAACAAAACAACTAACGGAGACTTTGTTTCCGAGAGGAAAACTCAGCCTGAGATATTACGTCCAAGAACACGCCTCCATTGAATTAGAATCCGCAGGCCTAATGCTTTCAATATTTTGACTTATCAATGCTGTTGCTTCACTAGTAGCTTGACGAATGGCTTCTTTATATTTTCGGGATTTTTTCTTCTTATTATACCTCGACTGCAAACAAAACACAACAAATTTGTTACAACTTACTAAAAGTAAAAAGAACCTGTACCAGCTCCACTAATCTGGCAAATCTCAATTAAATTTTATGAATGGGAGTGCATTTACACAAGATGAATTGGGCTAAAGCATTAAAGCATGCCAGCAACTTGATTGTAAAAATTATTTCTGGCTTTGCTGGCACAATAAGACAAGACAGAGCCTGGTGTATTACATCGATTTTTGATGTCTTGTCGCAATGGTACAAATTATAACAATCAGGCCGCACGCTCTGCATGCTTCATTGAAAAAGTGAGTGTGGGTTTCACTATTTTTATTGATTATGGAGGCTTTAATGCATGGCCAGATTTTCCGTTGATTACTGTGATCTCTTTTTGAATTAATTCATTTAAATTATGCAGAGTTAGACATGAGAAAATCAAACAGAGCCTGAATAATTAAGAATACAACAAAACACCTTTCAATTCCGAAGCTGTTAAGGAGCTACTCAATTTTAAGAGTCTCTTTACTCGTTCACTGCAACGGTAATATGCGCCGCTGCGCCACACCAGCCTGACAAGACCAGCGCTTACAAAACCATTCTTAACTTATTTTTGCTGAGTAAAGAGTACATCTTATCATCAGATATCAGAATTCCTCGTTACACCAACGTCCAAGAGATAGCGCTTCCGCTGCCTTGGAGCAATATCTGTCATACTTGCCAGTTTTTAGTGCTCTCAACTTGCCGCAAAACATGAGGCAAACCGTAGCGCGGCAGGACCAACCATTGCCAGTCCCTGGGGACCGGCGCGGTGGTTAATAAGATAAGCAAACTGATGTTGACAGACTAGCTTTTTGGAAAAAAGAGAAAAGTTAATTCACCTTGTATGTTTCTAGGAAAGGTGCGAGTTGATCACAGGACATCACAGACGTAGTTGAGGAACCAAACCATGCAATGTATGCTTGAGCATCACTTGCATCTGGCGTGGATTTTGTAATACTTAGAACCTGCACAAAAAAACAAAAACATGTAGTCTATTTTCTTACTGCTAGAGTCCTTGCTCATAGGAGTATTCTTTGAAAAATAAGCCAGATTTAATACAGATTGTACAGAGTGGCCCTCATTGAGGGTTTTTAGATAAAATCTGAAGGCGACTGCTTCAATCTCATGATAGAATGAGGCTAGAGAGCATTGAAAATTAGGCAAATCGCACAATTAAAAATTTTACAGAGTACAATAGTCCCCAGGTCGTGGTGATCTAAAAATTCAAAAGCCATTCAAATAAAATTCTGCAGCACTTTCTATTGCCAACCACTTCATTATTTAGAGTCCATGATTTGTCTCATTATTGGCAGCAATGAAGTAGAAAATCAAAGTGCTGTAGAACTTTACCAAAGTGACCATAATCTGATAAGTTGTCTTGGTTAATGCTCATTGAGAGTTTGAATTATGCCGTAACTGTCTTTCTATAAAAGTATTTCTCAAAATTGTAATTTGGGCCAGTAGCATAAATGCAATTTACTTGAACCAATTTACAATTGAAACAATTTACTTTGTACCCATGCATGAAAGGATTATCTTTCATTAATTTGCTACTACTAATAATAATACCACTACTAAGGGCTACTAAAGTGTTTTGAATGCGTTGATACATTAGTACAGATAGTGATTGGTTATTCCTCTAATTCTGTAAGAGGAACAAAAATTCCTTTTCCTTGGCTATGTAAACTTGCTACTTAAGTAATAAAAATCAGAATCAGGCCCAGAATCAAAACCAAAAAGAAGTCATATTCTTAAAAGATCATCTTAGCACTGACTAGAAGAAATGAAAAAGTTATGTACCTTGCCTGGCCACCAAGGAAATCCATGGATTTTGCCCCAAATAATATCACCTACAGTTAACTGACAGCCTTCCACAGTTGTACAGGATGAAACTGTATTTTCTAAATTTTTAAGCTGGCCTTCAATTGGAGGAAATTCCGGATCAGGCTCTTCGGATGAATGACTATTAGGACTCGAACTTAGCTCATTGCGTGTTGTATATGCGTTAGCATTCAACCGCTTCAAATGAATGGAGAGCTTTTGATGAAGGCAACGCTCCTTCATTGCACTATAGGTCTCTGGGCGATCTTCCTTCCTTCGCTTCTTGTGTTTAACTTTGTGTCGATGTCTCCGGTAATAGAGAGCTTCATATGTAGGTGATCGTCCAGATGGAGAACTGACCAACATTTTCCTTTTTGCTTCTTTTTTAGCTTTTTTTAAAGCGCGCTTGGCTGCCCTCGTGACAGTCTTCTCACAGTTTGCACTTTCTACTACAGCAATGGACTGTGCTTCATTGCTTTCTTGAAATCCTGGAATATGAACGACAATTCAAGTGAGAGAAAATACTGAGAACTGATCACAAATGATAAACTTTACAAACAGAAGGGTAACGCTGATCAGCAAATAAATTTATACTTAGATTTGCCCAATAGTTCAACTTAGATCCTGCATGCATTTTGAGCACTGATTCTGAGAATAACCACTTTTTTTCTAGATCAGGTTGGTTTGACCAGGAATAATCAGGATTCTCCCCAAAAGTTGACCTTTTCCAAAGAAAATTTCATTTTCCAGAAAATCTGAGCATTGACTAAAAAGAAGCAGGTCCATGATCAGAGTTTACGGTCGAAAATTCAAAGGGAAACATAAATTTCATGCCGGACAAATTTTCCATTATTTTCCTAATAACAAGCTTTTTCTAGTTAATTGCCTTCTACCCTCCATTTACCACCATGTAATTAAGGCTTGATTGACCGTTCTGAGTGGGAAAGGATAGGAAAAATTCCCTCGCATCTAATAAAGATCAACCTAGCTAATTTTTGCTGTTGAAGTAAAAAATGACCCTAGTTTTTTTCCAATATTTTTGGAGAACTAAATTATCAAAAACGGGAGTTTCTAAACAGGAAAAGTTGCTCTGAAAGTTCAATTTTCCGAAAAACTGATAGGTGCTGGGAAAAAACTACTTTCATTTTCCGCTTCAGCAGCAAAGATTAGGTGTGCATACTCCTAACATACACCAGAAACAATAATTTTCCCAAAAACGCCTGTTTTAAGCCATAAAATGAAATTTGAACACTGCAAGAGCTGAATTTCTGTTGTAGTCGAAATTATTATTTTACACCATCTCAGAATATTTAACGCTCTGTTCAGATTTGAGTGCTGTGATAAAAATAAATGTTTACTTTATGGATGATAATTTAACCCCAATCTCCACTGAAAAGTATGAGAGGAATAACAATTTTTTTTGCCACCAGGAGACTCATTTCTGTTTCTCTCCATGTAGCTATGAAATTGATGCGCTACTTGCAAAAGTATTGTGAATAGAGGTTTCAGGCTCCTTGAGGAAGTATATATTTTTAAATGAGAGCTAAATTCTACTTCAACTTACCTAAACTAGAGTGTGCTTCAATATCGACTTCTGGTTCACTCTCACTCGGTTCATAATTTACTTTTGAAGGAATCTTAACGACAGTACCCTCTCCTTCTGTTCCAAATGATATTTTGATGACCGGAGTTGTGCGTGTTTTGCAAAGTGCATCTTCAAAAACACTTTCATCCCATAGGTCTTCCATAGACCCGACACTCCGTTTCTTCCGTAACACCATTTTATTGTCAATTGATTCAGAGTTTTCACCGCCCTCAACTCCCATGACACAGACTGTTTCTGCATCTTCCATTGTTTCATCTGGTTCTGTTACAGGAACCCCTTGAGGCCTCATCCAGATTTTTCCATTGACTACAGGTTTGATTTTATTAGCTAATTTTGTACAGTTCATCATATTTGAAATATCACTTGACTTAACTCTCGAAACTTTTGGAATGAGTAACGGCAACAGAGGTTTGGAATTTTCACTTTTTGGCTGATTATCCTGTTGGCTTTCAGCAAAAAGGGATCTTGGACTCTTTTCTTCGGGGGAAGACAAACGTCGATCAGCTACTGGTTGAGGTTTGTGCGACTTTGAGTGGTCAACATTTTCAGAATTCTCATTGCAAATTCCGCGGCATTTTGAACATAACACTTGTCGTGGTCGTAATCTAACTGTCATTCTTGTTTTGCCTCGTGTTGCACCTTTACTCCTGCTGAAACCATTTATGGGCAGTAAGTTTTTGGCTAGGGCTGATTTCTCTTGAAGATAAGTACATCTCTGGCTAACAGAATAAAGCTTCTCACTTTCTTCCTCTTGTTTTGCTGTCAATGGAGCAAAAAAACTGGTCGATGCATTCACACCACATGGGAATTGTCTGAAACAAACAAATATTGTGAGTCAGATTAATGGTTGGAGTGAGGTCAGTTGAAAAGTTCGGAGAGTTTTCGTTACTCCATTTCCCCTTCGAGTGAAACATGATTCAGAATTTAAAAAAAAAAAAAAAAAAAATACCTAAAATGAATCTTACTCTTGGATAGACCTCTTAAACATGTTTTTGAGTCTCTATTCCAAAGTAATAGTTTAAAAGATGTGATTTTCTTATGTGCCACGCAATCTGTTACTACCTTGCCTTTGAATGACCTGTGTTTTATGACCGATCAGTCATCATGGTTTGGCTTGTCTGAAGGTTTAAGCGAGACTTGTGGACAAGTTTCTTTTAAAAAAAAGAGATTGGGTTTTGATTAAGGTACGAAGTTTATATTGGGCTTGTTTTGAGGCTCGCAGTTACCTCCATTACAAACAAAATGAAATTCCAGAATGAAGTGGTACCCGTCCCCCAAGTTTTAACTTCAGTGAAGCTGCAGCAAAAAATACACTTCTCCATATCTTTAAAATGTTCATCTGTTGTATAGCAAGACCTAAGGAGGGTTCTTGTTGAAGAGATGATATGAACTATTTTTTCAGTGAATTTTGCCAACTTAGCCTTGTTCTACTGTCTTCATCTCAAAACAATCAGAATCAAGCTTTGAAACCAAGGATCAGGTCTGCATATTGGGACCAAACAGCAAATCACGTCTTGAACTATTACTTTTGAACACTTCTTCAGTCCATCAGTGTGCACTTGTTTCAATAATCAGGGCCAAATTTACATTTTAAGCGCCCAGTGCTGGAATGCGGAGAGGTATTGGGTCCCAGATCCCTTACCTTTCATATCAAAGAGATAGTGAGTACTTGGAAAATGTTATAGGTTTAACACGTAAGTACCGAAGTTGATGTTTTTGAATAAATTCAGTAAACTTTTGTGCCCCTCAGTCAGAATGTAGCGCTCTGAGTTATCACCTATGTAGCCTGATAGCAAAGCTGGCAGTTTTACCTGAAGCAAGAACATCAAGTCAAGAAGGGAAAGCATAAAAATGTGTGTTATTTTTTGTAAACATAGACTTGAAATGCAATTAAGACAGCGCGCTAGGCTTGACCTTTGGCAGGAGGGGCGAGAGAGCTAGAGGGTAAATTCGTGCCTTCACCTGAGTTTCACCTCCTGATGTACATGTATTACGCCCGTATGACACCCATTGTAAGAGTATGGCTGCACATCTGATTTGCCCGAGGGTGTCTCTGATACCTTGAATTTCCCGATACTACATGCAATCCAGACTGCCTACCTTTCGTATTGCCAAAAGATCATGATGCGCCATCCAGATTACGTTCTACGTTGATGTTTGATAATCTTACGGTAGGTGGTATGTTAACAATGAAGAAAAGCCAGCCGTCTAGAAATTTCTGCCAAAATGGTCAACAACTTAGAATTTCACTTGGCTTCTACTGTTTAGAGGTTAGATTGACAACATTTGCAGCTAACTACAGCTCATGCAACCACAGAAAGTGAAAAAGGTGCTACAATGATGACCTCTACAAGAAGTCGTTGGCTAGGGCACTGGGGGTGGTTGACGTGCAATATAACACGGTCTCAATTTTGAAGGATTACCAATGCTTAGAAGCCTTGTTATCTTAGATAGTCTAGAACGGCAGAACATTCAAGCATAATTGGTACAAAAGCGAAACCATGCAAGTAATGAGAGGTGCAATACGTTCCACAGTGAGCCTAGTGTCGTGACACACGAGGGTGCCAGACATGGGCGGGGCTCGCAATCAAGCCTGACCATCTGGTACTGGTTTCAGATAAGTTATATCATTGAGAGACATCCAAGCAACGTTCATAAAGGATTTTTGGGCATGAAATCAGAGGATTTCAGCAGTTTCAAGGCCAAAGGACCTGTGAGGATGGATGAGGTTCTGGGACATACCTATTAGTTGTATCCATAAGAACTCCTTGGTAAATTCTGCTTTCATGATTGTAGGTAACAACTAACATATCCTTGAGAGCCTCATCAACTTTCACTAACACTTTAGACCCTTTTAAAAATTTTACATCATTCTGAATTTCAGCCATGTTGGCAAAGAATATAATGAAATTTGATGGATTGTTGAATTTACAATGTAACATCATCCAACAATCAGATATGAGGGAATTTTTTGGGGAATATTTGGATTTCGTGTAATCCTTGAATCTCTCCGATCTTAGACGGGAAATATACATTATTCCATATCATTATCAATGAATTTTTTTAATTCTTCATTATTTACATTTAAACAGAGTTATAATCCAATTAAAAAGGCTAAGTGGCCGTTGACAGTGCAAACCACTATGAGTAAAGGGATTTTACAGCTTCTTCATTGTGCAACTTGTACAAGAATGTAAACATAACCATGGCTCCGATTCTGAGATAATAATATCTCATCTGTATTTCGTTGTGTCTTACTGACCTATCTTTCCTGAAATTCAATTTTTCGTGACAATCTTATCTTCTAGTTCTCTCGTAAATGAATGAACATCGGAAGGAAATTATTCCTCGCTGTTTAAACTCCAGTCAGTGATCTCCGTGTTTATGTGTATGCCGTAGTAGGTACAGCTTCTGAAAGTGTTCTGATGAATTTTTAAGATGGAAAGCGAAAAAGTTGAAAAAGAACTGTGCAGTAATCTTCTGAAATGGGTACGTTTCCTTCCATATTCATCAGTAGTCTCTGTGGCATCGAGCAACGTATCTAGTGCTCCTAACTTTAAAGCGCAGCAGGCAATGTTTCTATTAGGATGTGATCATCCCTCGGACCGAGACTCATTAGATTCACAACACCTCAGGTCTTTTAACAGTTCTTACAGTAGAATTTGTACAGAAAACATTGCCGTTGCTTACGGATAACTAATAATCACAGATTAATTAGGCGATTCGCACGCTCCTACCTCTGCGATGTCTTCCCGATGGGTGGTTCCCTATCCCCTAGCAGAGTTAAATTATATAAAGGAAACTTAAATGTCATGTGACTACAGTGAGCTTAACATGTTATTGCCTGGTGGTATTACTTCAGCCTCTTGACTTGCCTCTTGTAACTTCCGCCGCCGCGCCGCGCTGACCGCACTGTGTTTGGCGCAATGCGTGAAGTATTCATGCAGTCTTGTAGGCGCTATGCGTTTCACGCCGTCCGCTGTTGACCGCACTGTGTTTGACGCAATGCGTGAAGTATTCATGCACTCTTGTAGGAGCTAATATGTGTTACATGCCAACCGCCGCGCCTTGGGCCTCTCCATATTATCTAAAGTCCTCATCATCATTGCTCTCTGCGCCGCGCCGCTCCAGGCCAAATTGCGTGTTTGGTTCCTCTCTTAACTCGACTAACTTAATGTGCGCAGTCTTTTGTATCACTGAAAGACAACAAAATAAGAAATTGATATACTCTCAGAAAATGAGAGATTTTCTCACCTTTTCTTGTTTGTAATTTTGTTCTGAATCCGATTTTTTTTTACCTACATTTAAAAAAAATTGCACAATTTGCCGCCCTCTAAATTTGCCACCATGGGCCGCGGCCCATATGGCCACCCCCTCAATCCAGCCCTGTCCGAATGTATGACAAAATGTATGGTTTTAAGGTAAACTGTGCAATTGGCCCCTTTTTTAAAAAATTGAGCAAAAAAAGACATCTTAATCATTTTTAAAAATTTTATCCGCACCCAAGATTTGCCTCATGTTTGCAGCGATTCTAAGATTGTAAGATTGGGCATTTTATGTACTTCCGTGATCATGTCAATAGGATGTGCTCCAACTTCATTAAGTACTTCCCAATCGCAGCATTTTTTTCACAGTAAGAAGTAGACTAAGCATAAATTTATATTGGTCTTAGTTTGTTCCTTAATGTATTAACTCGAATTTTTGTTATTTTTATCTAGCTTCAGACATTTCAGTTGAGCGCCCCGCACAGCAAATTGCATGAGATAACTGATGGTGTGGCCATTGCGCAAGCATTGCATCAAATGTATGTATTTATTCACTCTAATTTTTGCTTTTCAGAGGCATTTTAACATAACATAGTATGCTCTGTTGATTTTCCTCTAGTGCAGCATTTTTTTTGCAGCACAAATTTGGTAGCCCTATCTGACGCTGCTTATGAGATACAGAGTTTCAAAAATTGTGATTTACATTGGAATCAATGTGGCAGATGTGCAGTTTTCCCCTGATATCTTGAAAATACTAAAATGGAGTTAGGTACTTATTGGCTCTAGGGTACTGATATTTAAAGATCAGCTATAATAGAGTTTTATTCTTTTACCAAATGCTCTTCAAAAAATGGTCCAAGTTTTCTTACTCGTCATTCCATGCCTCCAAAAAATCTTACCCTTAAATTCTAATCCACCATTCAGTTCGAAAGTTACATGTAATTATCTATCTGTTTTAAACTCTAAGGCTACTCGTTTTAGTCATCACCGACTACTGAACTAATTTTTAATTTATTTTTCTTATGCAATAAGAATTCATGAGCTGTCTATGTACCAGGATCCTTACCTTTCTCAAAATTATCAAAGTGTACCATATTGGTGCAATTTCTCCTGAAGAGTGTCTAACCCCCAAGTTGACTCAAAACCAAGCCAACTGAGCTGTCATAATTATTTCTTTTCTCTCTTACTCTGTTGCTTAAGATTTGTAATCGCAATTGTTGTAATGTTTACCATCCTTATTTCAGAGCCCCTGAGTGGTTTGATGATGCCTGGCTTTCAAAAATCAAAGTTGACGTTGGCAGTAATTGGCGACTGAAGGTAATGCTTGGTTCTTTTTTTGTAATGGGAAGTTCAACTGGGTTACAAAGAATAGGAAATAACACCATCTTGTTACGAAGAATGCTTTACAATACATGCCTTTCGGTTTTGGTAAAAGATAAAAAGATAATACTGAGATTTTAGCACTGGAAAAGCTGTAGTTAGAGTGGACTGGACACCTTGAGATGTCCAATTTTCATCCAAAAAATCTAAAATTTACTAACAGGAAGAGAATTTTAGAGCACTAACTGCCAAATTTAGATTTTCAAATTGTTTCCTAGAGTTTAATACTCAATTTTCAGAATTTTCTGTGAGGCCTCTGGGCAACTCCCCCCCCCCCCAAGTTCCCTGAAACCGCCCTTGTTTAGTAGTTTCATTATTTCATAATGTTTAATATGTGCAGAGAGGTCAAGGAGAAAAAATTATCTCTCTGTCTTTGAATGGAGAGATTTTTTGACTGACTGAAGAGTTCTCAAAGTGACTGGCTTGAATGAGGTGACATTTCTCAAATGTAGTCAAAATAATCTTGTCAAGGAAGGCAGAAGGTAAAAGGTCGAAGGATAAAGATAATGATTTTGGCTCCTAAGACTTTAATGTTTAAAATAGGAGTAATTAACAGGAAGCTTGCTCTGTTAACTCTCTTAAAGGTATACTGTCAACAGATCATTTAGTTTACAAAGAGTGAGAGGAAGTTGATCTTGTAAAGTTAAGGGGCAAATTTCTTCTTGGTGTTGTGTGTCCACTGAAAAATGCAGTTAAGTAGAAAGTGGTATCTTTATCGGGTTCCATTGTTTACGGAAATTTATTACCTTTTTATCCCGATGAGTTGAGGCTCGAGTGAGACCGATGAGGTCTAATCACTCATCAACTCAACTCATCAGGATAAAAAGGTAATAAATTTCCGTAAAAAATGCAGTTCTATTACTTAGCAACTTTACTGCCTCAAAGTTATTAGTATCTTGGCTAATCTGTGATATTTTTCCATGATTTCCTCTTAATTTTGCCCTGTTTCATTTGTTACTAGGTGAGCAATTTGAAAAAGATCGTCGAGAGTATTGTTGATTTTTACAATGATATCTTCAATCAAGGCTTAGCAGAGTGTGGAAAACCTGATGTCATGAAAATCGGTAATCCTCAACTTTTTATCCAATACTGAAGCTCATCTGAGAAAAAGAGGGGCTGTTCAAAAGCAATAAAATTTCCCTTGCAAGGGATTTTCCAAAGACTCGACTTTTTCAATCTGTAGATAATGTTTTGTCCATTCCTAAGGTTTTGAGCCTTTTTTTCTTTTATTTATCATCTTTTAAAATCTTAAATGTATAGATAAACAGTGTCAAATTCTCCTTAAAATAAACAATTTAAATTAATTGTTGAACAAAGAGTTGATTCTTGTCATAAACTCTTTTCGTCCCACCTCCATGAATTTTCTTTCTCTTTTATTCGACTTGTGTGATTCAGAATCAAATATCTCTCACACTCTAAAAAAAAGTTTTGCTATTTCATGAGCAGCTATCTGAATAATATCATTTTTTTTTCAGCTGACCAGGTAGATCCGCTTGAAATTGCAAGATTGCTTCAGCTAGTGCTTGGATGTGCAGTGAATAGTGAGCGGCGCCAAGGTATGTAGGCATGTCTTAGTTGTTTGTTTAACCCTGTCAATCATTTTCAGCTAATAAAATATTTAACTCAGATGAGTCAGGTCATTATATCATATAAATCGCTGATGTTGGCCCGACCTCAGATAAACTCATTTTTACCAGGACAAGGTTTTAAGCTATATTAATAATTATAAAAGCATTTGTCACTCTCAAATTGTGTAATTGCTCAGTGTATGATCTGGGCAGTTACGTACACAGTCTATAAATTGTACAGGATTGTTGTCTAAACGCCTCAACAGCTTGCAAACTGCCTTATCTAAGATTGTTTGGATATATTGACTACATTTCACACAATGAATATTTCAGAGTACATAACAAAGATAATGGACCTGGAAGAATCTGTGCAACAAGTCATCATGCAATCAATTCAGGAATTAGAAACAATGGTCGGCTCAGGACCTGGGCCCATCAGCTTCACAGTTGGTCTTGATCAGCAAGTGCAGCAGCTCATGTCAGAATTACAAGTTGTCACTGAAGCTAGGGATCAGATGGCTCAAAGATGTTTAGAATTGGACATGCAAGTATGTATAATTTATTCTGAATGTTCAAAGCTTCTTCTGTTCAAAAATTTAAAACACTCAGTTAACTGGACCCTAAATTGATACTGCTCAGTTTGCCAGGAGTTAAGAAAAATGGCTTCGCAGAACGTATAATAAATACCTTCTTTAATTTTTTATTTTATGTTTTCAAAGTTTTACTCAGCTGCCCTGAACTATGCAATGTCAATAAGACCCTCTGAAATTCACTGTTCAGTAATGCAGGGATTTTATGATGAATTAAGGCTATTCGGATGAACTCTCTCTGTTGCAAAAAGTCGAAATGTAGAGTCTTCTGAGTCAGAGGTCAATTTATAAACATCGTTTTATTCATTTTATTGTGTACACATTTCAATTGTTTGGTCATATGTACAAATTTTTTCCTGATTTTTACCACCAGGTTAGCTTATTACAAGAGGAGAAAGCAAATGCTCTAGAGGAAAAGCGCAGAATTGAAGAGCGTCTTCAAGAAACTGCTGAGGACCCCAAAAACAGTGGACTTTTAAGGAGACAAGTTGAATCTTTGAAAGAACAAATTTACAAATTAGAAACATGTATGTATATTTTGACGCTATTTTCAAGTGTACATATATAACTGATTGAATATTCATAAAATAATAGACAATTACCCTCAGGAAATGATTGTTAAGGATATATTTATTGGTTCTAAAGCATCCATTCATCAAGACATTGTACCTAAGGAAGCTCAGCTTAATTTAGCTCACTTAGTGAAAAAACTACGATCCTACACGTTATTTAATCTCAAGTAATTTACTCATTCCTTCAAGATGTTTTGCAAAATTCTTTTTCCTTTAACATCCCCCTTTCAAAAAGAAATATTTTATTTCTTTCAATTGAAATTCTTGTCAGTAAAGTTTTTGCTGTTTTGGAGGAAAATATTTAAGTTCATTTGCATATAATTTTTATTCAACCAGAATTTTCTAATAGATTACACGCATATCCTTGTTTATTTACATGTGTTTGATCATGTAGCAAGAACTAAATCAACACTAATGGTTGTGTTGCAGCTAGGGATGATTATCGTTTGAAGGTAGAACTTCAAGATAAAACCATGCTGGAACTTCAGGCAAGGCTTGACATGCTCCAGCAGACGGCAGGTGAGGCCAGAAATCTCAAAGATGAAGTTGATGTCCTTCGTGAAACTGCCAACAAAGTTGAAAATTACGAAGCAACAATCCAGTCATACAAAAAAAAGTTAAATGAATTAGAAGATCTCAAAAGATTAGTCAAGTTATTAGAGTCCAAAAATGCATCTTATATTCAACAAAATGCTGAACTAGAAGAGGTATGTCTTTAAAAAAATGCTTAAATATTGTGCATGAATCTCCAATTTTTAAAATCTGTGGTACCCTCTTGAATTTAAGGAGTAATCCAAAGTTAATGATTTTGAAAAATTACTCCTTCTGAGAGACATTGGTCTGTTGTTGGTATGAGAGTGGCTTTTGACAGTAACCACATCAATATATAACATTTGTTTTATTTGAAACACATCAACGTCTAGTTTCAAGGTTATGGCACTGAATGTTTGTAACTTTTGAGTAATTATCATGCTAATTTTGACCAGCCAAGATGTTAATAATCAGACTTTATAAAAATTGGTGGATTTACTCATGGCCCTGTTCAAATGTTGCCCTGATAAATAGAAAAATCCTTGAGCAATAAAGTTTCAAGTTTTTGAATAGTCACGTGTTAGCCCATTCTAGTAATTAGAATGTTACCACTGAGGGTTTATATGCTCAGAATGTATTAAAGTTAAATGAACAGCCTCTCTGAAAGTGATTTGTTAACGAAAACATGATAATTTATATTCTTGTAGGATTTAAAGAAAACTGGAGCTTGGAAAGCGCAAGCTGAGGTGTACAAAAAGCAATTAGCAGATTTTGAGAAGAAACTTGATGCAGAAACTAAACGCGCCGACAAACTAGAGTTTGAAAGTGAAAATGTTAAGCAGCGGTTGAATGCAGAAATTAGAGAAAAGGAGCATTTAATTGTGGAGCGAGATACCTTGCGTGAGGCCAATGAGGAGTTGCAATGTGTTCAACTACAAAATAGAGAAATTGGAAACATAATGGATTCCGACATTGTGCCAGAGGACATTGCTGAATTGAAGTAAGGGAACCTCCTTTTTTAAATCTTTAATCACTGTAGACCTACTTTAAACTGTCATTCTAGCCCTCTGCATGATTCCAAATCTCTAGCAGTAATATCAAACTAACTCACATCTCAGTGTGTACCTGTAGAAATTGGTTTAGTCCATGAGTTAAAAAAGGATGTGACTTAGAGGATATGAATGCCAAATAAAAAATTATATCTTGACGTGGCATCCAGTCAAGCTTGACTTTAAAGAAGGTAAATTAAGGGAATCTGAGTTTCCCAGATTCTATTGTACACTAATCTCCATTTCGCTGCCTTCAAAAGTCTTGTTAAAGGGAAGTTGTCAACAGCCATAAAGAAAAGTGAAGGAAGAACAAAAAATAATCCTTTATCTTAATACTCGTGATAAAAAATGCCTAAATTCAATTTCCTGAGGAAAACACGTTTTAAGTTAGCAGAACCCCCTTAAAGAAAAGTACCAATCTCTTGTTAATTGTTTCCTGTTTTGCATCCTCTTTTAGGGTTCAGCTCGTTCAGCTAAACTCGGAAAACAAAATTTTGAAATTGAATCAAAAGAAGCCAGAAGACCAGAACTTGGCAGTGGTTCAATCTCTTCTTGACGATAAAACTCAAGCATACAATCGGTTGAATCAAGAAAACAGGTGCATTTTTCCCAGATAATTTCATGAAATGTTTAATGTGTTTTCTTTCAAGTTTACTCTCTAGTTTTGTCTGTATTTTATATTTGTTTATTTCTATTAGATTTTTGTCTTTAGCAGTGTTATTCCAGAGCTTGATGCGTAAACTTTAATTTCAAAATTTGTCAACGCTGTTAATAAGTTTCTTGATCGTTATAATCAGTTCAACTGGTGTTTTTTTTTTTTTTTTTTTTTTTTTTTTTTTTTTTTTTTTACAAATTTTTTGAGCACCAGGGAAATACATACTCAAAAACACATTGAAACGCAATGTGTCACCAGTGTTAAGCCAGAAATATTCTCAAAAACACAGACAAATCTTTTTAAATGAAATGAAAAAATGGATAACAAGGGTCCAATTTTCAGCCCGAGGTTTGCCCCCAAAGATGCGTTGCAAAGTGTTGAGGTCATTTTTTTTTGTCATTTAACATCAGTATCTGACATCAGTTTGTTAGTGGCAGCATCCCAGGTTAAACTTGGCACCATGGGAACACCTTGTTGCCAGGCTCATGCGCATGATGTGACATGTAGCGAGATAATCATATCAGGATTCTTCATTAAAATTTTTCGGAAGTAGAAAGATGTCAAAAGCACTTTTGGATTTTTTGTTTTTTATTATCTTTCCTCTTTACTTAAGAAAATGTTATATAAATCATACTAATACTTGATTCTTTTAACAGCTTTCCGATCTATTATTTCTTTACATTTTTATTAAAGACGAACAAAAATTTTTGCAATTTGAACTGCTTATCCTCAATCTTTATTTGGCAACTGAATGTCAAGATCAGAAATCATGTTCTTTAATACTTCCTAAGTTACTTCAGGGAAAAGAATTATGAAAATTTACGAGACAAATCTTATGAATATCATTTCGGTTTGCAATCGGACCTGAGTGTATTCAATATCATCTTTAGAGGTTTTCTATCTGACCATGTGTAAAAAACTAATTCAGCAAAATAAAATAGATTAAATAGATTAATAAAACATGTTGAAAATTTAGCCATTAAAGCTGTAATCATGAAGTTATTAGGTTATAAAAGTTTTAATTAATTTACATGGATTCTTTTCTGCCGCAGATGTGCTTTTGAAACTCTCCTATCTTCAGAGACTTATACACAAGTATACCTACAAATCATTAATTGAAACAAATTAGTGTTTCTATGTGTACTTGTTTGTTAATTTTTGATCTGAACGGTAGCTCTAAAGATTAGAGAGTCCCCAAAAAACGTCAGTGGCAAAAAAAAATGCATGCAATTAAATTTAAACCAAATAACAACTCCATAATTACAGCATTGTTGGCTAAAAATCCAACCTATTTTATCATCATAATGACACTGATACATGCAAATCTCTCTAAGTAAAAATAATTGAATATTGAAATAATCTATAACCCTCTGAATTTTTTGGTTTTGTAGAAGACTGAATCAGCGCATAATGGAGCTTGAATCTGAGAGTAAAGAAGTTGATAAAATGGACGAAAACGATGCTTCTGCCTTAAAATCGAAGTTGACCGAGCTTCAAGATAAGCAGCATAGCATGAAAGAAGAGCTTGATGAGAAAGTCAGCATCATCATGGAAAAAAGTAATTTGTTTGCCGTTTTTCCCAAAATGTTGCACACATTAGAAATGCTGCACTGTTCTTGGAACTAGCTTTGATCAATGTGAATCAATTTGATCAATATTAAACTTATTTAGTGGCATTCCAGCAAAATTTTTGAGGCTAACAGAATATCTGTCGCATTTTTTATCTTGGATGTTCTCCAGAGTTCTCCATCGCGGACCACAGTCTGAGAAAGTATTTGTCAACATTTTTTAACTTAAACTTCTAGTGGTCCACTACAGTCCAGTCAGATGAAAAATATTTCCCTTGAAGGCATTACAAGCATTAAGGTGAATATGCTACAGGTAAATCACAAATTTTGGCTGGATTTAAATATGCCAAGAGAATTCAGGCGATCGCTATCTGCCCCCAAATATTTAGCTGATTGCTATTTGTTCTCGCAAAAATGGTCAAGTTCACCATTAAAAAAATGAACTTTACCAGTTTATTTGGTAGGGTCTGCATCAAAAGGATGAATAAAAAGGAAAATATCATGCAAAGTCAGAAATTTGGTATAAAAAATGAGAAATATATAAATAACAAAATGGATTTAGTCACAGCTGTGTAATTCAGTTAAGATTTTGTTTATAGTTACAAGTTTATATAAATGATTTTAAGAGCCTAAAACTCCAAGAAGAGCAGCTGCAAAAGCAGATTTATTATCGGTTTTAAATTTCTTCCGTTCCATGAGTTTTATCAAATTACTCTCTTATTTATTTACAAGATTTATTAGATTATTTGAGATTCTATGTGTTTCATTTTCATTTGTTACAGAACAAATCATTTTCCAGCTTCAAGAAGCACTTTCACAAAAAGATGTAGAGCTTAATGAACTTGGAGAGAAATACAAGAAATATACAGAGAAAGCGAAAACTGTCATGAAAAGTTTGGATCCCAGGCCTCTATCAAGCATAGAATTAAATGAAATCCGAAACAAATTAACTGAGAGTGAGAGGCTACTGGAAGAAAGAGATGTAAGTTTTACGGACTTTGATTTTCTGGGTCTTTGAACGCTGACAAATTTAATTATTTGAATTTTAACTAATTTCTGAACAAGGCTCTCTTTCATCTGAATCAGAATAGTTAAGATGGGTCGCACTCACACCTTTTCCATATTGATAATTGTAAAAGCTTATTTTTCCAGAAATTCGGCCCTACCCTGGCTCTTGAGGTAGTGAAAATCATAAACTCACCAGAAAACAAAAATGAAGGAAAGATCATCATGCTATCCTCTAATGCTCTCAATGAAGCAATCAAATGAGACTTTTTTCAGCATATTTCCATAAAAATTCTTGGGTTAATAATCAATATATGTAATCTCATGGTTTTTGTGACTTTGAAAAGTAATTGAAAAATGCTTGATTTTGAATTTTCTTTCAAAGCCTAGAAAGTGATTGAATTTTACCCCTCCCTACTTGTCAGTGATAAATGCTCATTGTATGTACAAAGTTAATTCTAATAGAAGGAAGTTGAAGTAAAAAAATAGATAAAGTTCTAAGGTTCAAAATCATGATACTGAGATAAAACTGCCTGTTGAGCTAAGATTTACGGAAAAAGGTTTTGAATTGTGCTCAAAAATTTCTTAATAAATGCTTGATTTTTTCTTCTGGAGAATGCAGAATTTCAAATTCTACTTTTTTTGTTCAGAATAATGTGGATATTTTCTGTCGGTTTATTTTTGTAACCTGAAATTCAACATGCTTTTTTTCATAAATAATTAAACTTTTGTTTAGTTCATCGTCCATGTAAAGCCTCTCAGTAAAATATGCCTTCCTATGCTATTTTTTGTGCATGGCGGCAAATTCTTACAGCATACCCGTCAAAAAAATTCAAATTTGAATTCAGTGTCCCAAAAAAAAACATATTTTCAGTCCATAAAACATCATTTGACCCTCATTTCCAGCTTCCTTCCTCTTTATCTGAGAGATGATTAGACTTTTTATTTTGAGGGGGTTGCAAGGCACCCAGCTCGATCCCGGAGGATCTGTCATCTACAAAAGTTGAGCATCATTGGGGAATTCCCCCTTTTTTTTATAAAAAATGAAAAATTTTTATATTATTAATTTTAATTTTCTATTTTTGCAGAAAAAAATTCTTCGCATGGAAAGTGAAATGAATTTGATGTCAACAGCATATCATCACATGGTAATATTTTTTTTATAAGTACAGTTTATCTTAAGGTATGAATCGTCAGATGAGGCATTTTCTACTCTCCTGGAAAAAAGTGTCATGTCCACGAGATGGCAAGATATTAAATTGGCAAAAGTTTCTTCCTTTCTCCTGGAAAGAAATTTATATCGCTAGCTGGGTGATTCTTAAATGGTCCATCCGCTCAAGCAAATTCTCCGAATTCCCTTTCTTCTGTTTTTTCAAATCAAAGATTTAATCAAACCCTCTGTTCCTTTAAGTAAAAGAGAAACACAAGTCACCCCCAAAGAATTCAACGGTTCCAAGGGATGTAAACAGCTCGATGGAGGGTGAGGTAAAGCAGAATTTAGTTGGAACTTGGGCTGCTAAAGTGTTGGAAACACCGCAAATGACAGTGCCAGGCTTGTAGACTTGATGATGCATCTTGTGCGTCGCTTACCTTGACATCGCTCTTAGTGCAACTTAAGTGCTACCCCTTCATGTAATAAAATTATGATTGAAATAAGAACATTGAGACTAGGAGTAGCCAGTAGCCCTCTCCAGGAAGACAATAGCACTTTTCAGAAATCATCTTTACTGCTGGCATCATTCCTATCAATTACTTATTTTCTTTTGCATTTAACCTCCCAGCATTTTTGACTCACAATCAGAGACAATTTAACATCAAAAAGAAAGAACAGATAATCAATGGTGTGTTCATTTTGAATCATTTTAATCAGATTTTTTGAAAATTTGCCTCTGGAAACCGCAAACTATTTTTCATAATTTTCCTCTGCTGTTTCTATATATTACTTACTTACTCCCTACTCTTACAATAACTCCGGTATACCGTATTTGCATATTAACACACTGTAGTTGCATACAGGAATCTGCTCTGGTGATATTACCTTTCATCTAAAAACTACCCCCCCTTTTCCCCTTTCAAATTGTCAATTTTTTTTGTTTTTCTCCAGGAACCCTCACTTTACCCCACTAACTTTACCCCAAAAAAGACTTTTTTGAGGTTGACTCTGACTTTTCAAAAGAAGTTGATAAATTTTGTATGCCAAATGAGCAAATTTTTTTAAACTTCTGTTATTTATTGGCTTCAACAAAAAAAGTCTGAAAAGAACTCTCCTGTGTCACGAATGCTCTCAGAAAATTCATGAAATTTGATAGCATCGGATGACACATTTTATGCAAACTAATCTTGCATTGTAAGACTCTGGACATGCATTTATTAAAATTTTATTTTGAGTTTTCTGGAGTCAGCCATTTTCATCATTTTAGTGGACCAAGAAAAAAAAAGAGAAAAAAATGAAGAAAAAATGGAAAATTTAGTACGGTCATCGTATCCACATTGTGCTCGGAACAATATTTTTTTTTTTTCATTTTACAAGGGCAAATGAATTTCAAAGGATTTTCATCAACAAAAGAGAAACAAACAACAACAACAACTTTAGCGCTTTACTTGAGAATTCTTCATATCTTTCAGAATTTATCAATTAATTCCTCAGAGGATATATAGTTCTGACTTTGAAAAACATTATAAAACAGACACGAGGGCGCGAAACAAACTTTGAATGTTATGATTACATCGCTATTTGGATAATGGTAACCAGTATTTTGTGTTAAAGTATTTTTATTCTTTGTATTCCAGATGCAATCAAGACAGCGTGAAAATGTTGAGCAACGCACAGCATACTGGAATAGTAATCCATCCTCATTTTTGAGCCGCATGCGAACTCCGTCAGGACGAAGGAACATTCAAACCTTGAACTCCAAATGAAACTCATCGAGCAATAATTACTAGAGCATTGAATCTCACCTTTCTCTTCTTGCCTGTGCCCTAAACATAGTTTGAAATGTGTCAATTATAATTAAATGTCCAGTGCTGTGAACTATTTGTCTCTCGTTAAGTGTTCGTAGCTCAATTCAGTTTTCATTGAGCATCCATGGTGTGAAAATGTGGGCAAATTGTTGCTGTTGCAGCCAAGGTTCACAATTATAATTTATTAAGCTTTTAAATATTTTGTTAAATACTCTATTGTTACTTTTACCCATGTTAAAATAATGTCTTTCATGTTGGCATGCTGTTAAAGAAGTTATCTAGCGTCGGCTGGACTGGCGTGCTAAGCTAGTATTGATTTCATTATTGAATGATGTTTGATAATTGATTCTCACGGTTTACACCTTTTTTATCGCATGGTGGGCTTTTTCCTCATTTCTTCCAACTTTAGAGAGTGGGAAGATAGTCGATTGTGCAATCAAGTAACTAACAAGAAAATCATGGAAAGAAGATAATTGTAGAAGAAACTTACCCCAGCATTAGCAATTTTCAATCGTTCCTCGCTTTCAGGAAAAAAATCCACATTGCAATTTTAAGATTCACAATTTTTTTTTCTTGCAAAGACAGAAATTGGTATACTTCATACAATTGTCCTCAAATCACGAATTTTAGTCACAACTGATTGTGAGAGCCATCAATACTTAGTAAGTAATGTATTTCAACTGTTACTGTAAACCAAATGTCTATTTGAACTTTCTTTGTTTTCTGCGGGTCGATTGTTGAATCGTTATCGAATGCTTCTGATCGATAAATCCCTATCTTAACAATGCTATATATCGATCAAGGTCATTCGATAACGATTCAACAATCGAGGAGCTGAGGTACTTTTATAAGTAAGAAACCTAGAAAAGAATTAATGAACTAGCATATTATATTTATATAATTTAATTGTATGTTTGTACAAAGTATTTACCAAAACTAAGACATTTCGTGGGAAAGAACTTAAACCAAAGCACTGAAGCCTTTTTTTTGGGTAAGTAAAATGTATTTTTATGTAATCAAAATTCTCCAACCACTGATTTCAACATTGGTCTGAAAAGTTTACTGAAACATCAATATGAAAATTGTATGATAAATATCTCAAGATGATTCATGAGTCTGGTTCTTTGTGATAATGAAGTGCTCTGTAATTTCAGTCAAAACTTTGTTTGTAAGTTTATACAGCAGATACGAATATTTAAGTTTGCTTCTTTCAACTGTTCTAAGTTTTCCACCCCGGGTAACCTTAATGTGCAACTGCATTTACATGCAGGTATGAAGTTCCCCGGCAAATTACAGAATATTATAGAAACTGCAGACATCTGAACCAATGACATATTTTTTAACTTGATTTTTTTTTTCGCTATTCCAGCTTTCAAAGCGTCATTCTTTTCAGGTGCAAGGGGGCAAATGGTTGTCAGCCAAAATGGTAAACCTGGCCCTTTTCACATGTAAAGACGCTCTGTAAGAGAGCTTTTTTACCATCGAGTTTTCTCTCTAGCTGTTGTTAGCACATAGTGGAAGCATTTCGTAGGTTCGTTGTCTCAATGTATTTGTTTACTATGTGCTGATATTTATGAATATTGTTAAATATTATTTGTGCTCAAAGAGACTGATCAAAAATTTCTTTGAAAGTGTGAAATCAAGGGAGCAAGACTAGACTAACTTTTTGGCTTTGCTTGAATAGTTTGAATTTTACAACTGAGGGAGCAGGAGTGCCGCCGTCACTTTCTCACAACATTTTAACTCTTTACCGTTTAAGAGGAGAGTTTTTACGACCAGAATATTTGCATTACTATTATAATGAGAAGCAGATGTATGTCTCCATATACTTGACCAAAAAAAATCATATCAGAACTTTTTTTATCAGTTTTACTTACGCAATCAGCAAATGCCCTTGTATACTAATCATCTACCGTTCTTACCCTTTTGTATTACTTCTTTGATCTGATTTAATTATATCATTTTAATTTAATGTTTATAGCGATAGAAACATTCACCTCTGGTACCATCAGTCTCTTGATCTGTCGATTTTTATTTATTTGTAAATCACAAAGTCTCTAATGATGGAAGTGTTTTCTAACATTTTCTGGGAAATTTAGTTCACTTTCAATGTGCCTTAGACTGTTGTAAATTGCCGTCTCTTAGCCACATGTTTGCTCATGACACCTGCTAGAGCTCTCGCATACCATCCTATGGGGAAAGAGTTTCTACAGGTGTAATTTAAAGAAATAACTGGTCACAATTAACTCCTTAGAGTCTTTGTGTTTTGAGCTTTGTCCCCCAGGTTTAAAATCTAATCAAGCCACATGTTCACAATTTAATAATGTTGCTGGAAATATCTGGCCAGTGTGAGGAAAAGATATCAAATTGTATTTGATGAGAGGCAAACAACTATTTCAGAAAATCGAAGGCCTATTAATAGCTAGAGAATTTGATTTTTATTGAAAATTGTGACATTTTTTTGCAATGAGCAAATTTTTTGTTTCCAAAAAAAAAAAAAATTGTTCCCTTCTTTCCCCAATGTTAACTAAGCGTTGCCATTTTTGCAGTCAGAATCAGTCCTGCCTAGTGTCTGGATGATTGCTAATTATTGAATTATTTAATTTCAGAGGAACCAAGAAGTATTATAAAATACATGAGTCTTCGAAGGCCTGTTCCTTGTTTCCTGTGTCTCAAAACCCATTATAATGTTTTTTCCCTGTACCAAGTCATTACTTAATGTATATAATTCTAATCTGAAGAGATTATCTTTGGATGCACAAATCGAAATTTTCTCAAGTTTTTAGAAAAGATAACAATCCCTGTTTTCTTCAAAAAAGTAAAATTTAACAAGTAATTTGTAACATTTCTTCATACCTTGATGCATGTTATTATTGTTTCATGATTGATCTTGAATATTTTAGGTAAATACCTTATGAATTTGTTGCAATATTTGTATTTTAGGTACAGTTAATTTTTGTAATTGTTTTTATTCTTAACTAAAATTTTAAGTATCTGAAAAGAGTGTATAATAAAATAACCTATTTTTTATTTTTGTGATTCTTAATTTTCCTCAATCTTGAAGAATAACATCGACAATTGACATAATTTGTATGTGAACATATTGGGGGTTTTCCCTGTGTTCAAAATCATTGAGAAGCCCTCATTGTTGTCTCTCTTGTTTCCTGTCAAAATTTTATTTCGAATGTGATGTTTTACAACAATTAAATTTCATTGTGTATTCTTTAAACTGGAAGTTTTTATTTAGGCGCTAATTTTCTGAAAAAACTTCACTGATATTTCTTTTTTCGTCTTTTTTTAATCAAGAGAAGTTACAAACCTTTTTGTAGTTTCAACGAATTGTTACAAGCAGCCGTGCAGGATGGTTTAGAGTCAAACGCTGAACTAAATAGGTGCTAGACACTAAAAAGCTCGCTCTCACAGCTTATTCCAAACCAATTTTGGGTGATGGTGTGTCAACTGACAATTCTAGCCTGAACGTCTACAAGAACTGCTTGGTCTTGAAGTTTTCAGTCAGATTCATGAGACACAATGTCATTGCCATTGATGTAGCCAAAAAACTAAAGGGACAAACGCCATTTTTCATGGTTTTCAGGAATTTCTCAATCCAACCGCACGAGGGAAATTTTTATCATGGACACATGAAACATTTCTGACTATGCCTCTGACTACTGATGTTCTTCTCCAAATGAAGAGAAGAAATTCAAAAGCTGTTTTCCAAGCCATTAGGTACCTTGGTAGCAACAAATGTCCCAGAACTTTTGAAAAACTTGTTAATTTGAAAAGATAAGTTAGAAAGACTGTGAAATATCACGAAGATGAAAACTCTAGTTAAGGTATTTTTGTAAGTCAAATTTAACCATAAGTTCATAGAAAAAGTACTGAGAAACTCTTGAAAGATTTAAGTAATCACTGCAGATTTTTAAAAATTTATCTAAGTGTTTAAAAAACGTCGAAAATAACTTTTAAGAATCTATCGCACCTAGTCCTTTGAGGAATTTTTTTCGTAGATTTTACCTGACGTTAGCATTTCTAAAAAATATATTGTAAAATTGTAATTTTGCATGTTTTTCAAGAATTTTTGAAAATTTCCCTCCCCAAGTCACTGCCCAAGGTGTTGCTGATTTTGTGCAACCCGTTCTTATCTTATTGAAGAGGAATCAAGGGGCCCAAAAAAAATAGTTATTGTTATGAGTAAAATTCAATTAAAAGTTTAGTAGGAATTTCCCAGAGAAAAGTACACGAAGCAAGGGCATTTAGGTTCTATTATACCTTGAGAGGAGTGGCATGTTAGGTGCACAATCCTAACAACTCCTGATGATGTTTACCAAGAAGTTTTGAATCTCCACCATGGATGAATATACATATACTAACGTATTGTAATGTAATATCTTCGTCCATGTCTCCACTCTTCATGATGCCATATATGATGTGGGGGGGGGAGGGGGTTGAGGCAGCATGAGTCTCCTCTCTTTCTCATTTCTGTTTTTTTTTTTTTATTTTTATGGGAATCTTCCTAGAATTTCATTAAGCTCGGAGCTGCGCTCGACAGGTTTTTGCACAGTTTCAAGGTGAAGGCTCGGAAGGGAGGGAGGGGGGAGGGGCAGCTCGTATAGGTAAGCGAGTAAGGATATCGAAACCCTTTTCCTTTTTCCCCCTCTTTGCGTTGGAGTCCTTTTTACTCTAGACCGCCGCGCCGAAAACTCTATCCTACCTAATAAGAAAGCATTCCTTTTTCTTGTTATCGGATCACAAAAGAAAAAAGGGTCTCCGCCTTTTTATCTCCTGGCGCCAGACCCGTTTCTCTGGACCCCCTGCCCCCTCCCACGCGGAGAGACCGGTACTCATATCTTACGGCAGCCCTGTTGCCAATTTTTCGCGCCACAATTTTTGCAGTCGGAAGAATTTTTGCAACTTTGGAGAACGCTGATGTTACTTCATATTTGAAAAATTTCCAAATTACATATCGAAAATTTCTGAGTTACCTACCTGCTAAGGTAGGCGAAAATAAGGGGTAAAAAAACAGAAAGGGCGGGAGCCGGCATTATTTTACTTACACCGTCTGAGTGTGGAATTGGCTCATAAGTTTAGATGCCTTCAGTATTTTACTTTGATGGTTGGTCAAATAAGTAAATAACGATCCGAAAATAAAATTCGCAGGCGAAGCTTCCGCATCAAAATTGCATTGTGCATCTGGGAAGAATGAGGAGCAGCGGGAATTCGTAATTATCTCGGGTGAGTTATGTGGCGATAGGGGAGGGATGCGAGCGGGGAGGGGGTAAACTGTTGAACCTTGGCTCAGCCATGTTTGATATTTTCAGTCTCGATTGGTTTTCCTGAGCGCGGGCGGCGTTTGTGCGTTCTCGACCTATTCGCTATGGATTCTTAGCAGACATCTGTTTTTACCTCTATCGTTAAATTGTGTCAGTGTTTGGTTCCGCGTCTTTAGTTTTATAATAAAGGAAAATCGTGCGTGTAAGAAGGAAGTCTTAACGAATTTCGGTCGCGTAAACAAGTGGTTTTTATTCATTTGAGTGTTCTGTTGTTGTTCGCCGAGCAATGGCGCCTGCCGATGTGTACGGAATTGAACATCTCCTGAGCTGAGATGACTGGCGTCTGTCTGACTTTTAATTTTTACTAGGTAAGCGACTTGTTCATTCCAGGTCGATTCTTTTAGTTTTGACGTAGCTCCTGTCTCGTTTTCGTCTTGAAAACTATGTCCGACCCAGTTTTTGTTTGCCTCTGTTCAGGGTGTTTCACCGAGATCGGGAGGTAGCTTTTTCGGTGTTTCTGCCCGAATTCATGTTCATTAATCAGCAATTAGTTCCTTGTTTCGCGCCTCCTTCTGTGTTATGTGTTTTCTCCCGAGTTGAATCTTGTAAGCCTCCAGACTTTACATAGCATTATACCTCGGTAAAGGCTGTCTAGGCGTGAATGGGCCGAGTTCATGACCCATGCTAAGGTTATGATACCAGTGAACATCTTGCAAACCCCCTGAAATTTCATTGAATCGGTATCCGCCCGTAAACGAGTAAAATGATTCGAAATAGTCATGTTTGGACTTCTCGTCTCGTCATCTTTAATGATCAGGCTTTTCCGTTCCATATAAAGAGAACTGTCAATATCATGCACCCAGTTTGGTAGTGGGTTGCAGCTCCTCCCGTTGCTCAGGTTCTTTGGATTCTGCATTCTCAAATGTAAATAGTCATATTTTGTTGCTTCTCTCCTCTAATCAAGGTGTAAAATTCATCCCTCATGATTATAAACTTATAAAGATCAGAGTGAATAACATTGAAAGGACAAGCTTTTGGACCTCAGTCATCTGCCAGTGCATACCCGTGTGAGCCACAAAATGATAAAGTGTTTTAACCAGCTAGAGTTCAATATATATTCTCATCAAAGTGTTTTTGATGTCTCCGTTGCTAACTTCTATCAGCTCAGCATATTTGTAGGTCTGTCAACAGATTTTCAACGTAGAATTTGTTGATGCAATTGATTTTCCCTTTTTTTATTGTCAGGTAAATTTTGAGTAAGCGCCTTGTCTTCATGGCCATGTTGCCTCCAAAAGAGTTGATGAAGTATGCTCTTAATTTGATCTTTTCAGTATGTGGCAGGTTTTCAATTGTTTTTCAACTCAGATTAACGCAACATTTTGTATCTGGAGGACTGGTGTCTAGCATTTATTTTCTACTTCCAGGCGTTGGGCCTGATCAGAAGTGATTTTTTAATTATCTTCTCAGTACAGACTTTTTCCCAGCTCTGCATATGTTCAACATTATTGGGCTCCCTCAATTTCCGTACTTAGCATACAGTGTTTGTCAGCTTTTCGTAGGATTACTCTTGCTTCTTTTTGACTTTCTGCATGAGTTGTTCAATTCAAAATCATTACAATTAAGAAATCGAATGTAAACATACCGTATGTCAGTTGATGATTTATCTCTATTACAAGAGTTTTCAAGATGTAAGCAAAGCCGAGCCCAGCACAGGCTGGTCCTAATGCCAAAATTCAGAAATGAAACTATCCACTGGCATCACTGAAATTGAATATTATAATGACAACTAATTGCAGAAGTTGGCAGTTGTTTCGTTTTCATTGTCACAAGCAGTAGACCAATTTCCATACCTGCGCTCGTCAGCATATTCGTGCACTATCAACCGATGAACGGTATCTGATGTTGCCAGCGTAAAAGCTCGCCTATGAAAACTGGAGGTTAATTGTATTTTACGACTCTTCCTTACTTCAATTACTCTTGTGATAAGTTAATGAAAAAACTTGGCAATTGCATCGGATGTATTACATTACTCCTCTCATTCATAGTATGCTTATTTAGTTAAAGAGGGAATAATCAGTCTTGCCTCAGTGTCAGTTTGCACTGACTCATAGTTGCTTTCAATGTCACTTGAACCCCCCATTAATGTACCCAATTAGTAAACGATAATCTGAATGATAAGAGGCCGTTCTCCTATGAGAAAAACTTGTCCTCAGTTTTTTCAATCTCTTCCTTATTTTTGCTCTTTTGAAAAAAGGCAGACTTACGCATATTTGATTTCATTCAGTGCTGTATAGTATCAATGACTTAATGCGAACAATGTGCAACTCCAGTGCAATGTTTAAAAATCTCTGTTTTGCGTCTTCATGGCAAATTAATCAAAATATTTTCTTGCAATTTTGGGTGATTTTTTTGAATGAGTGCAGAAACCCGGAACAGAAAGAAAAGAAATTGTTTGCAAGTTTTTCTTCATAATAATGAAACCTGAGTGGAGACTTACCCACAATTTAGTAACTTGATATGCGCAAACGCATTTCTAGACTTAAACTATCAATATGCTCAAATAATCTTGTCAATAATTGCCCCAATTTTAATCTCATCTTCTTTTTCCTTCATCTGTTTCAGTTGAGGGTATGATGTGACAGAATTGGTGTCATGTCTTGCCGTGTGAGGCAACTGTTGACGTGGGTGGCTGTCAGTTTCCTGTCTCTAGCCGGAGCCAACATCGTTCGGACATACAATGAAACAGAAAGCATCCTTAATCACCTAGTCATTGATAAAAATACTGGTCGCATCTATGTTGGAGGAGTCAATAAGTTAATTCAGCTTTCATCTGACCTTCATCCTGTTGCAACTGCTGTCACCGGACCCTTTGAAGATTCTCCAGAATGTTCAACTCTCAACTGCCCCTCTGGAGCTGTGAAAAAGCTCACCAACAACTACAACAAAGCCCTCGTCATAGATTACACCAAAACAAAATTAATAGCTTGTGGAAGCTTGTTCCAAGGTAGTTGTTCCGTACGTAGTATGGAGAACATCTCAGAAGTATATGAAGATGTCAAGGAAGCAGTTGTGGCCAACAATGCCAAGGCTTCAACTGTTGCATTCATCGCTCCAGGCCCGAAAAACTCCCAAGGTGCACATGTCATGTATGTGGGAGTCACTTTCACAGGGGATTCACCGTACCGTTCAGAGGTTCCAGCCGTGGCATCCCGAAGTCTAGAATCTGGGAAGATGTTCACCATCGCTGAATCCATGGTAACAACTGGAACAAGGATGTTTGTCAACACACTAGCAAGAGAGCGCTTCATCATTAACTATGTGTACGGTTTCAGTTCAGAAGGTTTCAGTTACTTTCTGACGACACAAATGAAATCGAGTAGTTCGCCTCCGTATATTTCGAAGCTTGTGCGGGTTTGTCATGACGATTCAAGTTATTACTCATACACGGAAATCCCGTTAGTTTGTACATCAAGTGAAGGGAAGCATTATAATCTTGTGCAAGCTGCATATGTTGGAAAGTCCGGTTCAGTGTTGGCGGGTAACTTAGGGATTACGCAGCAAGATGATGTGTTGTACGGTGTGTTTTCGGAAAGTGTAACCAAAGAGGGAGAAGGTGCAAATAAACCGAGTGACCAAAGTGCGTTGTGTTTCTACTCGCTGAAGAGTATTCGCCGGAAGTTCATGAGCAACATAAAGCATTGCTTTAGTGGACAAGGAGATCGTGGTTTGGACTTCATCTCTACAAGCCTTCCCTGCGTACCAACGGTATGTTCCTCTTTTCCCTTTTTTAAATTTTTTTCTTGTTTGTCTTTGTAATTCCACTCTTTCTATAAACGCACTGCAATCTTGTAGTCGATTCACTAAAGTGTCAAAGAAGACCACCTTATTGATATCCATCCCCTACACGTGGCATCGGCTGAGCAGCCGTACAAAGAAGGTAAATTAAAAAAAATAACATAGAAACACACACCCCAATAGTTCACATGCTTTTCTACGCATTTACCAAAGGACATTCTGTTGTTTGGAAAACACAGTCAAAAACGTAATCTTCCGCGTTAGAGCCGCATCATCCACTGCGGTGTACCAGCAATGTATATGAATTGTGGAAAAGCCAATTGGACCACATTTTGCAATAACAGATAACCATATTTGGCTCATCCATAAAAGCAATTATCTGCTATGGGGAACTAATGGCACTTCAGCTGTTTCGTACCTTTTTGCAAAGTGTGCAACTTTCAATCAGAACAAATTTCCCTCTCAGTCTTTAAAGAAAGATCAATCCCATTTTTGCATCACTTGTGGAGAGACACTTAGGTGTGAAAAATCATCATCAGCATCAGAGAATCAACAATGCAGTGAATGGCCTAGTACTTACATCATCATACATACGAATAGATGAGCGGTACCTCTGTACCACTTTAAGGTAGAAGTATTGCATTTACGCTGATTTTCCATATCATAGTAGAGCTCCGATGTCCAGTCATGAGGCTATGTGACGCTCTTGATGAAGATTGATGGCTAGGACCTCCCTTCAATTCAGAACGGTTGCAGAATTGGTACATTTTCTCGGTTCAGCACATCGAGGTTGAAGTTTTCGTTGAGGATTTATTAGTTGAGTTGAACCTCAATTTTGCAAAGATACAGCTAAATTTTGCTTGAGAATAGTTTCAAAATGCATCTCAGAGAGGAAGTCGCTATTCCTGAAGAACCCCCCTCCCCGCTGTGTACTTGGAGGATTCGGTCCTCTCCTGGTAAAGTAAGGGGCAAGCAAACCCTAGATAATTGCTCCAGCTACGCAGATGACTAGGACAGGCCCGGGCCCGCCTTGTCATCGCCAGGGGCATCTAATCAGGGTGTCTACAAGTCCGGAATTTCCGGAGAGTCAGAAAATAGTGCTAATGTTTTAAGGGCGGACCGGAAGTACTGAAAAAGTGCGGAAATTCCGAAAGGAAGTCCGGAATTTTCTTATTTTTTTGTAATTTTTGTCGCACACCAAGCGAAAAATTAAAATTTTTGAAGTTCTTCGAATTTCGTCAAATGGAAGTACTGAAAAAGCACTGAATTTTTGTGTTAAAGAGGTACTAAATCTCTTGGAAATGTACTGAACGAGCACCGTAAAAGTACTGATTTTCGGACACCCTGCCAATCCACGCAATTGTGAGAGGCGCCGACTGCAAGGGAGCCAGGAAGTAATCCCACTTCCCCGAACTCGTACCGAATTTCGGAACTTCCGAGATTTTCCTGAATTTTACCCGGAACTATTAAAATTCCCGAAATTTTCCGGAACTTCCTAGGAACTTTTGAACTAATCTAAAAGGAATTCCGGAACTTTTGGATGACATGGAATGGTAGCACTGGAGCCAGGATTTCTCACGCCTCTCTTTCAGTTAAGTTGCGAGAGATTCCCATTTGTTTTTTCTTCGTCGTCTTCCACCATTCGTTGACCTAGGTTGAGGGGGGGGGGGTGTTGCTGTCTGCTTGGGTGACGGCTCTGTTCAGGGCGACGGATGAAGAAGTCGCCATCACCTCAACTGCGAGGCACCTTAAATGCGCGGCTACGAAGGGCCGATGCACTCGTCCTTCTGACGGGCCCCTCGAGTCGAAAACGGATTCTCCCGCGTATAAGTACGTAGGTGTCCGCACTCGGCATCGAGTCTTGGCATCTCGTCGAGCGGTTGTTTCGGACAGTTGGGACTTGGGAGTCAAGTGTAGGCGTCGGAGTCTAGGTTTGTCCTGGGCTTGGCCGTCACCTGGCATTTGGCACTCGGCAGCCAGACACTTCGTCATCCTCACCGCCACCGTGACCAGGCGCCGCGGCCCCCTTGCCAAGTCGCCGGACTCCTCCCCCGACGATCCCCCCTAGAGTACCTGTATACGGGAGAGTATTGCCATCTCTGTACCGCTCCCTGATTGCTTCATCCAGGGTGTCTGTAAGTTCGGAAATAGTGCTGATTTGTTAAGGGCGGTCCAGAAGTACCGGAAAAGTGCGGAAATTCCGCAGAAAGGTCCGGATTTTTTTTCATTTTTCTTCATTTTTGTCGCAATTTGAGCGAGAAATTGAAATTTTTCGAATTTCCTCAATTGGAGGTACTGAATTTTTCTGTTAGGGAGATACTGAATTTCTTGTGAATGCACTGAAAAAGCACTTATTTCTGGTCAGTCTGTTTTCGTAGACACCCTTTTCATCAGTTTTAGGCTCTCGTGGAGCTCCAAAGTTGGTCCAATTCAAACAAACCCAACCCAAAGGAACACGTATTATCGGCTGAGAAATGAATGATACTCACACTTGAAGCTTAATTTTCGGCAAAAACATTCATCAAAGTTCGATCCGAATTCAATTCAGAAGTTGGATACCTACAAAAAAAAATTCTATCACTTCCAAAATCACGTCTTGAACTTCGTAGAACTTTACCGACATCTTGTTTGTTTACATCGGGCGAAACGAGGAGCGGAAGGGCTGGGGTTTGTTTACATTGGTCCAACTTTGGGGCTCCATGATAGCCGACCAATCAGAGAGAGGCACACTTTTTCTGTAGTAAGAGGATTGAAATGGCAATACTTTCCCGTAGAGTTCCTTTATACTGAGAGTCAAAACAACACCCCCTCATGGAGTCACAAACGGAAATAAAGGTTACAGAAATTGAACGTTTTTCGTAATCTTTGATCGGCCCATTCTCAAATTCCTTTCTCCGTTCCTTCTCCCATTCCGTTTGTTCCTTGCCGAACCCGTAATTCCCTGGTCCATTCCAGATTATAATATTTGCAATCGGTGAAAATGTAATCTTTATTCCCGTTTGTGACACTGTGAAGGCTTAAAATACGGGAACCAATCAGAAATGGATTCACATTGTCTTGACTCTCAGTATAAAGGGACTCTAAGGTACTCTAGATCCCCCCATCGACGAGGAGATGCGGCAACCGGGCGCCAATCGGCATCCATCGCGACAACTCCGACACTAATTAGGCCCAGTTTACACCGTGAAACGTGTCAATACGCGCGTGACGCAACGGCAACGCGCCCGTGCCTTGGCGCCTTGAGATACCGGGACCGGCCAACTGCTAATTTCTCGATGCGCGGCTACGACCACGGCACGGATCAATGAGCTGGATCCTCAACTTATCGTCGTCGCGAACTGGGAGTGGTAGCATGACACGGCCCAGCAAGTAGTCGAGTTTTGATAGGTCACAGAATTCCGTTCGGACCGTTGGATCTTACTGCGTAGCAGAAAATAATAAGATAGCCTGAATCCCAATTCCCACGTCTGATGTAACCGAGATGTTTTCCGTTGAAAAGCACAGTGGATGCTATCTGACGTAATCCTCTGCAAAATTGAGTAGGCATAGTGATTTTCTGCAGCTTGCTCTCGCCATGCAAGGAAGACCTCTATTGCAGGGTGTCATCAGGATTTTCCCAATTCTATCAGGATTTGAGGGCAAATCGGTCGTAAAATCAGGAACTAAGAAAAGTCAGTCGTTCGCTTATTTTCTGTTAACTATCCGTTATCCGTCCGTCAATTTTTCTCCCCAAAGAAGCAGGGTTTGGAAAAATTATGGTATCAGGATTTAGAAGTAAAAAATCAGGAAAAATCGGGATTTCCCGAAATGAAAAAAAACTGGACACCATGTATTGAGACTTACTTTCGTTTGTGCGCCAGTCACTATGAGAGGCAAAGTTCGACAACTATGATGCGAGCAAACGCGGTAGAGGCTGTGGCGATTCTCTGAAATTGGCAACTGAGTTTTCCTCAATTCAAATCCATTCGAAATATCGATTTTGTCTTTTAGAATCGGTTGTAACCGGGATGCATAGTTTGGCGCCTAAGTACCCAGGTCTGTAGAATACGGCGAATTACGGAGGTCACTAGTACTTTATCCTTACTGAGATCATGAACTTCCGATTTTTTTAAAATTTTGAACTCGTTTATATGTTCGCTGCGAGATGACCTAGGTGGAGTCTCATACGCAATACCAGTTTAAGTACTATGCAATAGTTTCCAATATCTCAAGAGAGGAACTTTAATCATCGAATAGATAGTCAAACACATTTAAGCCTCCGTCCAAAATCATGAATCATTCATTCACTAAGTGAATTTCGTCTGCTTCCCTTCGTTCAAGCACGAAATGAATGAATGCATAGATTGCGAAAGTGATCTAGGGGGAAAGAAGTCTCCCATTAGCCGAGTATGAACCTACTATCAACTTCGGTTAGGTTCTTTAATTTATTTTATGCACTGCGTGGCGTTGTCCGGGTCAATGCAGTCCTGATAACCGCTATTTTTCTTGATTACGCGCTTAAAAATAGTTTCCCGCCTCCGTTATTATAATATCTCACCGCAGTGCTGTTCGGTGGCATTGGCCTCGCCCCCCCCCCCCCCCCNCGGCGGCCATTCTTTGTTATCGGCGCAGATTCAACGATGCCAGGTTTTTCAAGAGCCAAGACATTAACTCGTTTCAAGTTGAACAATCGGACCGCGTTTAACAGAAAGAAACCAAGGCATTTCACTAGGCAATTTAATTTTTTACGAGAGAACGTCTGTGCGGATTCCTTCAAGAATTTTAAGGAATTTGCTTCGTAACATGGAGAAAATTCAATGGAATTTGCAGGAAAATCCGCACAACTGTTCCCATGTATAAAATTAAATTGCCCAAATAACTGTGGCAATAGCGGATGTGGCTTGGTTCCTTTCTGTTTAACGCGGTCCAATTGGGAAGACTCTTTATCGCCAGTACGCAGAACCGATCAGATGATCGACTCTGTGATTTTG